CCTGCGCAGGGTAGCCTCACTGTGCTCTCGCCACATGAATAAAGAGAGTCCCAGAGCTTTTGATAAATTTTTCAGGCCTCTAATGCTCAGGCCTACCAGGCAGGGAGGCTGGCATGGTGGGAGGAAGGCTTGGGCTGGCAGAGGTCTGGGCGGCAGGCAGGAAGCCAAGCCTCCCAGCCCCACGAACTTTGCGCTCTTACCTCTCTGGCGTTCTCAGTCTCAGAGTGGCCCCCACGGTCCTGCAGCCGCCTCTGCCGCCATCCCTCTGCGCTAGGCACAGGTGTAAGCATTTACATGTGCACGCGCCTTGCTCCCTGGCCCAGGTGCCCATAACTACAGGCGCCCTTAGCCTGTGCTCATGCTTCTCAGCCCTGGTGAGAGTAGAAGAATGTCAGATTTTAAACTTCATTTACCTAACAGGGTGTAAAGGCAGGAACAGGGCACAGTGCAGGTTTTCTGATCCAGCAGACCGGGTAAAGGAGGAGTCAGAGCCCTCAGGGGTTTTGCAGGTCTTTTATTTGAGGTTCACCAGGCATATGCAGGCAGGGGTGCTGGGGGGCCGGGAGGCTGGCAGATCTCCCAGCCCCCAGCAAGTCTTCACTCTATCTGGGCTCTCCGGTGATCTCTCTCGGCTTCTCTTTCGGCTTCTTGGCTTCTGTTGGCGTCCCCATGACGCCGCCCTTATAAGCACAGTCTTAGAGCAGGTGTACCCACTTCAGGTGCCCGCCATCAGGCATGCATTCTGGATCATAGGGTTCCCTCATCTATCCTGATGGCGGGAGGGCAGAAAAGCCTGACATTTTTCCTTACCCTACACAGGGGCTTAAGAATGAATCCCATTTTAGTACGCCGTCCTAGGAGAGTAGACAGCTGTCCCTCCTTACCCTGCGCCATCTTGGGCTCCCAGCTCTCCATATCTTCTTCCCAACCGGTATAACTAGGTATCTGTTATATCCCTGGGGAATCTGACCCAAAGGTTGCAGAAGAGAAGGCTCACTTGACCAGTGATATATAATTTGGTCTAAATAGTCTGACCAGGGCCTCCCCTGCTAGCGCAGGCTGTTGAGCGCCACACTGTGAAGCTGTCCACAGTCTCTGCAGCACCAGTTCGATGCCAGCCGGCGAGGGTCCAGCATGGCGCGGCAGACCTCTCCTGCCTCGCCACTGCTCCCCTCAGCAGTGTATTTCGTCAGCCTGCCTGTTCTGCTCCCCACTCTGTCTCTGGTGAATCCTCTCACCCTCCCACGCATCTGGCCTGTACTCCAGTTCTTGTGTAAATGAATAAATAAATCTTTAAAAAAAATTCTTAAAAAAATAATAAATAAAAAATAAAAAGTCTGACCAGGGGCCAGGCCTCCTGCTTGAAGCCTAGCTCTCCCACTATAGGCCGTGGGGCCCAAGACACATCCTTGACCCCTCTGGACCTGCGTTTCTCAGCTTTACAACAAAGAACTTGAGCTTGATAGTCCCCAAGTTTCTTCCAGCATCCATGGGATGCTGAGTTGGGCTGGGGAGAAGGGATGCAAGGCCAGGGCTGGTTCAGGGGCAGAGATAATGCCAACCCCAAAGGGCCTTGAATTTCCACTCCCATCAGTGTGCTGCTTTGTTTCAGGTGGCAAGATTGTCAGAGGCTCTGACCCCTGCTTAACAACATGTGCTCCCACAACTCAGAACAGAGAGGAAATAAGGGCCTGGGGGCTTCCAGGGAGACCTCAAGCCTAATGGGTCAAGGAAGCTGCACATTCAGAATAGCCTTATCCCCCGGATCCAAAATAGGCACAAATGGAGTGGTTTTCAGGCTTCCCCTGGGCTAGAGCTAAAAATAACCCAGCTGAGGGATGTTCCAGTCATGAATCAATCAGCTAGGACTATTTCGGTCCTCTCCCCTTCCTGGGGCTCCTCCCACCATCTGCATCCATCCTGTCCTCATCTTGGCCTCCCAGCCACCTCAGCTCTGGAGCAGGGTGAGGGTCAGCAGCTTGTCCATGCCAATGTGAGAATCCTAATCCTGCTTACGGTGAAGAGATGGGCACTCTGGTGCCTCCTCCAGCCTGGGTGAACCTGCTTCGGCAGTGTCCCCTATGACAAGCTGGTGGACTGGGGTGTACACAGGTGTCACCTGAACAGCCTAGTGGCCATCCGTAGGCCGTGAGGAGGGCTTGTCCTTCCTGGCTACAAAGACTAAAATGCTACTTTTAAGGCCACAGAGAGGATTAAATGAGAACCTGTAAGCAAAATGCTAAATTTAGCAACTGGCAAGTTGCACATGCTCAGAAAATAAGAATTGGCTTCTCCCTACACACTCCAGCACCAGCCCCACCCCAGGCAATTTATCTGCAGCTTAGACTCCCATGGCTCACCAATGTCTTCAGAGAGCTCCACTGAGACAGATTTTTGTCAATCTGAAAGCCAGCTTCAGGGCCTCCCCGGTAGCACAGTGGTTGAGCGCTGGATTGCGAAGCTGCCCACGGCCTCTGCGGCGCCGGTTCGATCCCCGGCTGCTCCCCGGCCACCGGAGGAGGGTCCCACATGGCGCGCAGACCTCTCCTGCCGCCCACTGCTCCCCTCAGCAGTGTACTTCGGTCCTTCTGCCTGCTCTGCTCCCCGCTCTGGCTCTGGTGAATTCTCTCACCCTCCCGCGCTTCTGACTGTACCCAGTGCTTGTATGTATGTTTGTATGTATAAACAAATAAATAATGAATGAATAAATCTTTAAAAAAAAAAAGAGGCATTTATTTGAAAGCCAGCTTCAAACCCAGCTCTTGGAGAGAGCTTTGAAGGCACTGGGTATGCTCAGATCCTGTGTCAGCTCCCCTCGCTGACCACAGATGCAGGGCAGCTGGGCGGGCAGAAGATCGGCTCATGTCTAGTCCTCCACCGCCCTCTGCAGGTTCCAGTGCAAACCTGCAGGCCTCAGCGGCGTCCCTTTAGCACACCAAGCCCAGGGCCCCTCTAGAGATGAGGCAGTTTACAGATGAAAAGACAGCAGGACAAGGCCTGGTATCTGAGGAGGACATCACCACGGAATAACACAGTGATATACCTGTCCACAAAGCACTTTCATTTTCATAACCACTCGGCCTTGCCACTGTACCAAACTCAGAAGGGAATTCGCAGTCATTGCTCAGCCCTTAGGTCCTCACTGAAAAAACAGGTTAGGTCCCAATGTTGTACTATGCCCCAGAATATTCCAGAAAATCAATTAAAGAGATCTGTGTATATGTCCGTGTAAATTCTGATCCGATTTCTAAGGCCCTTCAGCTTTTTTTTTAATATTTTATTTTATATAATTCTTACATCATTTTTCATCTTTGCACAATGCATGCATTTTCATTATGGTTATATTCCCCATACAATTGCACCCCCCCCTTTATTTTGACTCTAGTCCTTCCTCTCCCCGCCCCTCCTTCCCCCCTGTACCCCCTTAGTGTGTCTAAGGCCCTTCCGCTTTATTCATACTGAAAACAGTCAGCTTATCTAGAATATGCATAGGGAGTGTGTGTGTGTGTGTACGCATGCACATGCATGTGTGTTACAGTGTGAGGGTCTGAATGTTTGGTCTTCATGGTCTCTCAAAATGAAGACTGGCTAAGATATGGCAGTGTAGGTTAAGTGAAAAGGTATCAGGCTTTTTTGCCTCCCACCATTAGGATTGATGATGGATCCTTGTGGTCCCGTATGCATGCCTGATGTAGGGTGTGGCATATGTAGGTGGGATTCATCTGTGCTGAGAGACTGGGCTTTTAGGGCAGCATCACGGGGATGCCAGGGGAACAGAAGCAGAATGAGAGAGCAGAGAACAAAGAAGCAGAGAGAACGCGAGAGAAGGCCAGAGGGGCGAGAGAAGCCAGAAAAAGTGAAGACTTGCTGGCAACCCTGCCTGCTGTGTACCTGGTAAATCCCAATAAAAGCCTGCAAAAGCCACTGAGGGCTCTCTAGGACTCTCTCCTCCTTTACCCCGTCTGCTCGGATCATAGAGATCCTGCTCCATGTCTTCCTGCCATTACAGGCAGGTATTAGCATTTAGTGAGATCATTAATAAGCATGTCTCACATGCCAGACAGGTGACAGTTCCATTTATTAGTGACATTAAGCGTCGAACTCAACCACATTGTTTCACTATCCTTCTTTTGTGACCAGAACCTTGGACCTGTCCAGTAATAGCTGGGTGATTTATACAGCGAAATTGCATAACAATTTTACATCATCCACCCAACACTACACAGTGACAAACTCACCAGAGGGAGCACCGAGAAGGGACATTTGTCTTTCTCCTGTTCTCTACCCCAACCTCTGGAAATTGGGGGAAATCAAAGCAGAGATCATGAGCTCAGACCTCACAGCGTAGACGGGAGCCAAGCCTGACGGCTGCAGATCCCTTATATAACTGGAGTTTCCAGGTCATGTATTTATAGACTTTCAGTGCCAGAGAAGACTTTAAAGATTATTCTAGTAAAATGAAGCTCAGAAGAGGAAAGTGGCCGCCCAAGGTTACAAGATAGAGACATAGCAGGGGCGAAACCCCAGGCTCCGCACCTATTTATCTCCTGCCTGATCTTGAATGGGTTAGCGTCATTTCCAGCTGGAAATTACTCTGCCCTTAAATTAAGGTTTCTTAACTAAACTTTTTTTAATTTTTTTTTAATGCACAAAGGTGGAAGAGGAAGAAATCTTGCCCATTGCAGTTGCTCAATCATTTGGTTGGTTGGCTTTCGGTGTTACAGAATAATCTCATTTTATGCAGCTTCACAAGACAGGATCCAATTAACCTTGATTTGTTTCATTCTGCATTCTCTCCAATGATGCAAAGGTGGTTTGAGGGCTGAATCGCATCCCATTGTCTCACTATAAATTTTGTGTATGGATCTGAGGTGATAATATGCTCATTGGTTTGAAGACAAGGCTCTTGGAGGAAGGCACACAGATTGAGAGTAACTTTGGTTTAAGGCTCTGGAGGTTTGTGGGAATCCTCTTGGAAGCACAGACACCATGAACACTTAAGGTTTGCAGGCTGTCCACAGAGTAGGGACACAGAACAAGCACTTCCTAAATCTATCTCAAATACACGATTAAAACAGACATGAAATGATCCTTATTGCATATGAGCCACTTAGGCCTAGAAGTTCTGAATTTGTTGATCATTATGCTTGCAAATCACATTTTTGATCAAAATCTCCCAATGCATTCAATGTTCTCCCAATTGCCATCTTGACAAATCATAGTATTCTCATCCTTCAACATTATAGATTCGTGTTCTGCAGGGCATGCTCCCTGCTCCATGGAAGGAAGCTCCAGGGTAACACAAGAAGGCTCCGTTGGAGGCTTTCTCTTCAGACCCTCAGAGACCAAGGTTTACAATTTTCTGGCACAGGAGTATCACACTAGGAAGGAAAGAGAGAAAACTCACTGCAGGGTCTCCCCAGAGCAAGGGATATAATGCCCCTTTCACCTCCTCTGACATACCTCCTCCCACCACTGCCAACCACCATTCCAAGACCAAGCACCACTCTGTGGTGGCAGCTACTGGGGCTGCCCCCAGGGAAGGGCCCCTTCATGTCCTAGTCATTGGCTTATTCCTGTTGCACACTTCCTGTGCGGCAGGCTCTGGACAGAAGAGGAGACCAGCCAGACATGGCCCCTTCCCACATGGGACGCACAGTCCTTCAAAAGCACTGCTGCTTGATGCAGTCAGCTGTCATGCTAATCCGCTGCAGGGATTTTAAATCACTGGTATGTTGTGACATAGCAATGGGGCTTGGATTAGAATCTTTGCTTTAGGTCTGGGGACTCGGAGGGGCTTGTTAAATCATCGAGCTCTGCATCAGATGGTTTCAAGGAGTGAATTCTGCAATCTGTGCAAGTTTAATAGGAGCCAGGCAGCAACTCTCCTGTCAGGGACTGGGTTTTGGGGGACTGTCTGCATGAAGGCCACGCAGGGAAGGTTCTGGGCTATGGTGCTACAGGGCTCTGGGCATCCTCCTGGGCTGAGACCCCCACACATGGTCTGTGTGCTTCTCACCCCATAGCTAAAGCTACTAGCAGACTTGGGCTAGCCTGACTGGGGACCCACCACTGCCTCATCCTCAATACTGAGGTCCTGGGGGCTCTATGTACCCTCCCCAATCCTGAAACACTTTGAGCCCATGAGTACCTATTTCACCTCTAAACCCAAAGGCCTATCACATTTTCTATCAGATACGCAGGAGGAAATGCAGCTAGGTCTCAGGAAGAACTGGTTCTGCCAACTCAACAGAGGCTGCCTTGCAAAGGCAATGGCAGAGCTGAGTGTGTGTGCAGCGCTGGCTGGTTCTCGGGTCCAACATGGAAGGCCTGTCTCAGCATGACCATCCCTTGCCAGCCCCTTCTCACAGTGGCTGCCGAAAGGAATTCCATTTTGCTACATACAGCTCCAAGGTAGTCCCATTCACCACATATAACACAATCAGCTGGCTTCCTAGAAGGACCCAGGGCCCCTACTTGTCCTCAGCCCCAGCATGGCCCATAGTAATCACAGAACAAAAATGAGCCAGCTAGTTCACTCAGCCCTTTTATCCCCTTTGCAAAGTAACTCTCGCAGCGTGTTTAACAAACAAGGGTCTCGAAAATGCCAGCAATGGGCTCTAAAGGCTAGGCACTTTGGGGGTTTTACCCATCACCCTTATCTTTGTGGCAAGTAATGAAATCTGTGGGGAAAACCACATGCAAAAGCACTTTTCCCCTGCGGAGGCCCAGCGACCAGCTGCAGCTTTAAGGTGTCTCTTGTTATTCAAGTTTGAAGAAGTGCTTCGCTGCATAGAAACGTGGGGGAGGAGCGGAGGGAGATTGCTTCAGCCCAAGTCCACTTTCCTCCCTGCAGAACCTGCCCCTGCAGTTCTCTGGCCAGGGCGCTGCCCCTGACTGAGTGGGTGCACAGAGGCTCATACCAAGGTGGTGAACTTGTCCCCGCAGGCATTGCGGATCTTCTCCGGGGTGGCAGGGCTGTCTAGCCGGAAAGATTTCTTGGTATTACAATCTTTGTGCTGAGATCGAGCTGCACGGATAGCATCTTGGATGGCAAAGAAGATGGAGGAGGCCAGGAAAAGGGGCGGCTCCCCAACAGCCTGAAAGGACAGAGCACAGGACAGGGCATCAGGCGGAGCGCCCGGGAGGGCTGGTGATTCCAGCAACTCCACCAGTGCTGGTAGGGCACCAAACCAGGCAGAGAGGCAATCAAAATGACCCAGCCAATGTCTCCACCTCCTTTGTATATGTCCTTTAACTCTCTGTCATTTTCTCTGATGACACCATGCAAATAGAATTTTGGGTTAGAAGTTACACTGAATGACTATATTTTACAGACAAACAAGTCTGACATGAGTCTGTCATGTCACTTCCCTCACAGTTATAAGGCTGGGGGAATAAGCTACCTGCAACCCTCCCAACATTCTAGGCACCGCACTTAAGCTCACAGCATCTGCTGGAACAGAGACGTGATGACAGGCAGGAACTGAAACACTTTCTAGCACAGGCAGGTTTGTCCCCCAGAGTGTAAATCAGAGGCCTCCTGTATCAGGAGCACTATGGACACTTGTGAAAAATGCATGTTGCAAGGCCCGACCCCAGATCTACTGAATCCTCATTTCTAAGGTGGGGCCCCTGAGCTGTATTTGTGTCTGAGCCCTGGTGACACCCAGCAAGCTGAAGTGTGGAAGCCAGTGGCAAAGATCCCACAGCACAGTCACCATGAGATGAGCGGATGTGTGTGTTGCGCAGACTACAAGTGACTACTTGTCTTCCCTCTAGCAACCCGCTTCGTTCACGTTCAACCCTTGTTTTCATACGTATTGGGGACAGGGAGGAAATGGAACACAAATATAATCCTTCAGGTAGGCTGAGCAAGTCTTAAGGTGGTGGCAGTGAAGAAGGTGAACCGCAGTGAGGGTGACAGGGTGCTGTGCTGAAAGCACACCTGGGACCAAGCGTCAGGGAGGTCGCCTGAGACACAGCAGAGGTCAGGGTCTGCCCCGCAGGACTGAGTTAAGAAATCCCTCTGAGAGCACCCAAAGGAGAGCCTTTCAGCCACATGGAAACGCTGGTGTCCTGAACCCACCTGGTTCCCGGGCAGGCTGCCTACCATGTTCCCCTAGGCCCACATTGAGCCCTCTCTTTTCTTCCAGACAGGCCCCCAGAACCCACATGACTGGTGGATGGAGCCCCCTTCACCCTCCACAGCCTCCCACGGAGCAGACCAGAAGGCAGTTTGGGCCCAGGGCAGTGGTACCTTGGATGCATAGATGGCCTTCTTGTTGGGGCAATCCCGGAGCAGGGACACCCGGAACTCAGTGGGGATGCTGCCAAATGCAGGAATCTTGTAGGTGCCAGGGCCACGGGTGAGCAGGCTCCCCTCAGGGGAGTAGTGCAGCTCCTCCAGGGTGAAGAGGCCAAGGCCCTGGACAAATGCCCCTTCCACCTGCAGGGTGGATGGAGACCATGGTTACCCTGCCCTCCTCCACCACAGACAGGCACTGCTTCCCACAACGGGCACCAACCCCTACCTGGACGTCTCCACCGCATCTCTGACCCCTGCCTGGCCAATAACCCATCTGGTCTCTCTCCAGGCATTGAAGGCAGCAAAACAAAGGCGTAAACAGGGAAGGCAGCTTCAGGCCTGGTGAGCCATTCCAGAAGGGCCAAGTGCAGGAATGTAATTCCCCATTAAAACCTGCTGCAGGGTAGGTGGAGTGTCCCTCCACATTGCCCCTGGAGAAACGGAGTCCCCCCCAGGTGAGAAGCAAGCTAAGGGCTAAGAGACATGGGGGTTCCACCTGGGTGCTGACCAGGACTGCACTTCTGAGCAGCCCCACAAAAAAGGAAGAACTTTGAAGATAGTAGATTCCAGTCCTTGAACCCCCAACCCGCCTGCCGTCTGGGTGGAAGAGATCACAGATCTCCTTCAGAGATGCCTGCTGGTCCACACCTGCCATGCCATGCCTGCTGGTCCACCCATGATATGTGGGCCACAGGGCAACAAGCACACTCAGAGGGGAGGCCAGTGCCCAGGCGTCCCTGTGTCGCAGGTGTAGCTCCGCACCTGCCCATTGCAGCCCTTCCCCCAAATGGTGGCTGAATGAACCAAAGGACAGAGCGACAAAGGGCTGTTGTCCACAGAATGGTCACCTTCCAGCGGATGCTCAGCCTCCATGGAGTCCTCAGTTCCTCCCTCCGTCTCCTCCTGTTCCACCTGCTCTGCCTAACAATCTCCTAGTTTCCAAATGACTTTCTTTGGCCCAGCCCTTTACTCCTCCTGCTCACACCCATGTCTTCCCCCCACTGCCCTTCACCACCCCAGGTTGGGCAGATTTACTTCCTAGAGCACAAAGGCTGACCCGGGTAGAAGAGGACTAGTGAGAAAACCTCTGACTTCAGACGCCCCTGTCTGGCCATACACCCCAAATTCAGTCTCTGTTCCCCACTCTGCTCCCTCTCATGCTGAGCTCATCATCGTGTCCTGGAGGTCTGTATGCATGCCCTTCCACGTTAGCCCGCACTGGCTGGTCTTTTCCCTGGCGAGCAGGATGGGTTCTCGTCTGTCTAAGTCCCCTTCCAAGGGACACTCACTTGGTACCACAGTCAGGTCTGCTTAACAGTGACATGGGGCCAGAAGCTGTGGCTGGTGGCCCTCAGGGAGGGACGGGGCACTAGTCCATCACCACTCTGGATGCCCATGAGCCTCACCTGTCCAATATCGATGGCAGGGTTCAGACTGGTCCCAACGTCCATGACGATGTCTGTGCGGAGGTTCTGAAGTGGACAACACAAGAGAGTTTGTGAAGAAAGGGGTGGGTAGAATGGCAGCCGGGTCTTGGTGACTCTTCGACTACTTTATGCCAACCCAAACAGTACTTCACTGTGGAGCAGCCAGAGCCATTCAGGCAGGCTCATGCACGCTCCCTCCAAGTCCCCACCACCGTCACTACTGGAGTCTGCCATCTTAGTAGCTGGGAAGGGGTAGGGAGCAGCAGAGCTCCCCGTCATTGGAAATAGCCCCCCACCCCATGTGAGTAGCAAGGGCAGATTCAAACCTCAGTCTAAAAAGATAGTGCAGGGCCTCCCTGGTGGCACAGAGATTAGAGACAGCACTATCAAGCTATCACCAGCCACTGCAGCATGAGTTCGATCCCCAGCTGGCTAGGGAGCTAACCCACATGGCTCAGCAGTCCTCTCCTGTCTTGTCCACTGCTCCCCTCAGCAGTGTATTTCAGTAGATCTGCCTGTTCGACTCCCCACTCTCTGGTGAATGCTCTCACCACCACCCCCACACACACCCCTCTGGCTTATACCCCAGTTCTTGTATGCATAAATAAATCTTAAAAAAAAAGATAGTGTAAAGAAGGGGCACCTCTCTGCCTGGGCTGAGCCCAACCCACCCCCTGTTTTTGTAGGACCTGCAGTTAATAATGACTTTTACCTTTTAAATAACTGGAAAAAAATAAAAAGAATATGTTGTAACCAGTGAAAATTAATGAAATTTGCTTTCAGTGTGCATAAATAAACAGTGTTTTACTGGAACACAGTCACACTCACTTTTGCTCACTTCTATCCTACAGTCTTTGGCTATTTTTGTGCTACAGTGATAGAGCTGAGTAGTTGAGGCAGAGTCTTTGTGGCCTCAGAAGCCTAAAATACCTGTTCTCTGGTCCTTTCTAGGAAATTTGCTGAGCCCAAATGTAAGGCATTATTTTGCCCACTAGAAGGTCTGCCTCTAAAAACTACTGGTATTATAATTCAGTTACTTCTCTTTTCTCTCCCCCTCCTCCTACCACTGAATTTTACAAACTTCTTACCTTATGATCTCCTGTTAAGCAGTCAATTTCCACCTCGGAACAAGCCACCCCATAGCTGAAGTAGTGGAAGGGATTCCCTGTGTTGGTTTCAAAGCTGTAGCCAAGGTTGGGTGTTCTGGAGCAAAAGGAGAACATGCCCATGAATACTCCCCTTGCACACACGCACAGCTTGTTCCACAGAATCTAAACATACTAAAGATTTTCTTTTTTTCACTCAGTTGTTTTCCATGTGTTTCGAATATTTTGAACCTGTTAAAGAAACCCAGGTGTCGGCCACACGTCACCCCTTGTCGTCTAGCCGCCAGTGGTCCTGCTGCGAGTCCTTCTGTAAGCCGAGTCGTGCTTAGTGGCAGCAAGCTAGGCCTACATGGCACAGAGGTGACTTATTTTCCTGGGCTCCCAAGGTATATGAAAGCCGCACTCCACGTCACTACTGAATCAGAATTCAAGGACTTTAGACCGGAAGTCTTCACCTGTGCTGGCTCCCAGGAAGGTCGCACAAGTTTACCTGCTCACAGAAAGCTCTTCTTTCCCAAGGTGAAAGTTAACAAGATCAGTATCTCATGCCAGCCTGGTGGGTCTCCAAGCTGCCCCCTGCCTGTATCGGTCCTCATCACTGCCCTTCAGAAATGCTTTGAGGAAAGTAGAAGCAGATGCTTCCTTGTTCATTTTTTTCTTTTTCAATACCGAGTATCTTATACAATCTAATTTTGCATGAGTGTGTGTGTGTGTGTGTGTGTGTGTGTGTGTGTGTGTGTATGCACCCACCCAGAGCTTATTATACTCTGTATCTATGTTATTCTACATGTTACACAGAAAGAGCGTGAGCTGATATGACCAGAATCTGCACTGAAAAAAAATCAATATAATCCTGAGAGAAAAGGTCTCTCCCAGAAGAAATCACCATCTCCTCTGGCCTTTGACTTCACCATCTTCAGCCGGGTTCTTTATGTAACCCCAGTTTTATCAACTCCAAAAAAAAATGAGATAGGAACTTATGAGAAAATCTGCACTAGCCTGTGTTTGTGTAGGTCAAGTGTTGCAGGGAGACTGGCAAACAGTCTTTATGTCCATGTATTTTCCTCACATGGGCTTATTAAGATGAATATTGTGTTATTTTCCCAATCCACTGCCTGTGAAAAAAAGGTATTTGTTAAATTTCCCTGAGCAAGCTAAAGCATCCTAGCTGACAGCAAAGATGATGGTATCTTTTTACAGCTTCCTGCAGCTACCAAATTTGCAAGTTGTGGAAAATAGGTGCTCTTTTCTAAATCTCACTCTAAATTCCTCTGAATTCTGCATTTTTTGACAAGATCACATGCTCCATCTTGACCCTCCTCTCACTCTTTGGAAGGAAAACCTCTGTAGAGAAATCTCCTGTCAGTACGAAGTGACCCAAAACCATAACTCAGAACTCGGGCCCCTGGTGCCCACAGGGGCACGCTGGGGGATAAATGGCAGGGATTTGCCGCCATGTGTCATAAATGAGGCTGCAGGGTCAGAGAGAAGCTCAGATGTCCCCACGTGAAACAGTCCCCTGTGCAAGCAGAACTAGCACACGGGTCTTCTGACAGGGCAGCTCATGCTTTCGCCTCCTTGGCACCGAGTCTAGTGATCCCAAATTTTAAGACGTCTTTCATTTCAAATTAGTGTAAGTCCTATGACGAAAGAAGGATTGTGGTGAAATTGCTCTCTCCTGATCCCAGGCTACAGAACTAAGTGTGGAGGACGCTGGGGGGTCAGGATGACAGCACCGTGAGACATAGGAGATGGGCTCCATACTTACTTGTAAAAGCCAGTAGCAGACAAGCTCACCGCATTCATGTAGGCAGCTATGACCTGAGGAGAAGAAAGGGTCACCAGGAAGGCGTGAACATGGTTTCCAGAAACTCTGACCCGGCTCCAAGCTTTCAGGACCCTGTCCTCCTCATCGGGAGGCACCGAGTCCTCCTCATCAGGAAGTCAGTTCACTCTCCCTACTAGGGACTCAGGTGCACACCTCTCCTCACACCCTCACCCCCTGCACCACGTCCTCATCTCCAAAACCTGGAGTGTGACGGCCCCCTAGCTGGTCTCTGAGCCTCATCTCATCCTCCTATCCTGTGTGTGGTCCTCTTAACACACCACGCCGCCCTGCCCTGGAATGTCATACATCAATGCCGCTCAGGCCAATCCGAGTGTTGCCGCCCCACGGCCCCATGCCTCTGTGCCCTCACTGGGCTGGCTCCTCCCAGTGACCCCTCAAGCTCATCTCTGCAGCCGCCTGTCCTCTGTGATCACTCTCCACCCTGGCCAGCTGCCCTCCAGAGTGCGCATCTGAGACTTAACATGTTAACTTTGTGCTTTATTTAAATGTTCCTATTAACAAAACCATCCACCCATCAAGCCGTCTATCTTATCTCCTTAACTACAGGATACGTTTTTGGTATGCCCAGCACTAGCCCAACACTAAGATTTAATTTGTTGTTGATGTGATTAGCATAATAATCATCATCAGCTACCCCTTTATCGTGTGCTAGATGGCACCGAGTACTTAGCATACATTATCTCACTAAAGAGTCAATACAACCTTATACTATCAGTACTATTAGCACCCTGCAGATGAAAAAACTAAGGTTTAGAGAAAGATTTTCTCTAGGATCCTTATCATAAATACATGTATAGGGCCTCCCTGGTGGCGCAGCAGTTGAGCGCTGGGTTGCAAAGCTGCCCACAGCCTCTGCTGCGCCGGTTCGATCCCCGGCCGCCAGGAGGGTCCCACATGGTGCACAGACCTCTCCTGCCACCCACTGCTCCCCTCACCAGTGTATTCCATCAGTCTCCTGTTCTGCTCCCCGCTCTGGCTCTGGTGAATTCTCTCACCCTCCCGCGCTTCTGACTGTACCCAGTGCTTGTATAAATAAATAAATGAATCTTTACAAAACAAATAAATACATACATACATACATGTATATAGTCTATATAGTATAGTATACACACAGTATAGTATATACATATGTGTCTATAGTATATACACATATATACATACATGTATATAAATGTATACGGTGGTAGAGTTGTAATGATTTGTTTTTCACTACAGTACAGACACCCAAGAGATTTGCTGCCTGTCATCTCCTGATCACACCCTTTAATAATGACCTTCATTGGAGTTTTTCAAATGCCAGACCATGTGGTCAGAGCTCAGGTCAACAGATTATAAAAGCTGTTGTTGAAAACATGAACCTTGCCAGGCAAACCCATGTTAAAATCCAAATGACCTGAATCCACCTGCATTCACTTGGTGTTCGTGTGTGGTATCTGAGCATGGGAAGGGAAGGAGAGGTCATGTGAAGCTTTGAAAAATAAGTGGTCAGAGAAGAATTACCTGTTTTCTGTGACTCCTCTATGGGGGGAGACTATACTGCATGAAGTTAGATTTTATGTGTTCCTATTGCACCTATTTGTCCCATTCCAATACCAGGGGTGGTGAAGAAGGGCTGCCACAGACTGAGCTCTGAGGGTTTCTGATATACTGGCCTCTGCTCCAGAAACAGAGAACTGGGTTTATTCTTGTTATGAGTGTTTGCTCTGTCACCCCTAAAAATCACAGGAGTAACATGAACTCTTGGGTTATATTTTCCTTCCCTCCTCACAGATGGAATCTCGGAGGACCCAGACTCCAGATCCAGTTAAGGGGAGAGACAGCTGGAAGAGGAGGAGGTTAAAGAAGACTGGGATCAGCGAGGTGTGTGGCCCCAGTGAGCCAAGACTTTGCAGTGAAGCATATGCAACAGTCACCCCATCTTCTCAGGCTCAGAGCAGTCAACTCCCCAATTCCCACAAGACTGTCAAGATCCTGGAACAAAAAATTTCCTCAAAATGGGGACCTCCCTGGTGGCGCAAGGGGTTAAGACACAGCACTATGAAGCTATCTGCAGCCACTGCAGCATGAGTTCGATCCCTGGCCAGGGAGCTACCCACATGGCGCAGCAGACCTCTCCTGACTCACCCACTGCTCCCCTCAGCAGTGTATTTCAGTAGATCTGCCAGTTTTGTTCCCCACTCTGTCTCTGTCTCACTCAACCCCCGCGTCTCTGGCCTGCACCCCAGCTCTTATATGCATAAATAAATAAATTTTTTAAAAAATGAAAAAGAAAAGTTTCCTCAAAATGAATTTGAAAACTCCTTAAAACTTTTTCTCAGCTGTGACAGGCAGAGAGCAGCTGAGGTGGCTGTATGATTCCACCTTAGTTCTGTCTCTTTCTCTGGCTTTTATAGCTGAGAAAAAGTTCGCTCTGACTCAGAATACAGGCAGAGGCCCTGCTCTTCATTTCCCTCTCATTTACAAAAGCAACTTGGATCCACTCAGACTTACCCAGTCTTTCCAGGAGCCACTAGGATTCTTTTTCTTGAAGGGTTCCAGTCTTTTCAGGATCGTCTGACAAGCTTCCTAAAGAAGACATCCCACACACACCAGACACATCAATCCTCTGCAGCTCCTCCAGGTAAAACCCCGAGAGACTCAGCAAGGCCAGCTCCACTGGTGCTGTGCTCAGGTGCCACTCCAGGCTGGCCACCCTCTCAGGAATGACAGTCTAGGTTGGAAGCCACTGGACCTGGCCAAAGAGACCAGCTCTGGCCTTTGCTTGGAGAGCACTTCCTAGCCCGTGCTTGGGCTAACAAGGGTGATATGTCTGAGGGTCGCCCAAGGAGGTGGCTTCTCCCATTAAACTTGTGATTACAGCCCAACATGGGAGGAGAAGCATGTGACCCCATAATCAGATTCCAGACTCAGTTCCATTGTCTCATGGCCAGTTCTAGTCCACTGTCCTGTGACCAGTGAAACACAAGGGAGGATGTCTTCCCAGAATGCCCTGTGTGCCTCCAGCACTTGTCCCTTCCTGCTCTCGTCCTCCTGGCCTTGACGGAAGTGACTATTCTTAGGCCTCTTTTTTGGCTTTGCATTTGGAGAAACAGGATTCCCCTGGGTAATGCAGCTGAAGACAAGGCTATCATCAAATGGTTCCTGTAAGGAGACATTCTAGCTCCCACCCAGGGACCTCTGGCCCCACCTCCCAAGTCTCCTTACATAGACAGCCTGGCCGTTGATGTCCGCGCTGACGGAGGCAGCTGTGGGAGAGGTGTTGGGCACGGTGTTAGTGCTTGTCTCACTGATGAAAATATCAGAAGTGGGGATGTGCAGAGCTTTGCTAGCCACCTGAGGAAAGAGACAACATCACCCTCGAGGACAGCAATTGGCAAGGGGTTCAGCTGCCTTCTCCCCAAGATAGGATTCAGGTTCACTGTTTACTGTTATAAGAAAACAATTTTGTAAACTATAATCCTATTGAGACTGGATGTCTGAATTTGAAGCAGCACTTTGGAATAGTTTGGTTGGATAAGAAATTCACACTGCCAGTGATGACAAAAGTGCCTTTTAAAGCTAACTCTGAATTTGTAAAGAATCCACTTTGGCCAGTCCCATAGGCCAAGCAGGCATGCTGACTCTGTCCAGCTTGATCATGCTACCCCCACTGTGTGGGGGGAACGAAGTGACCTCAATGACCACCTGACCAACCCCTTTGCACAGATAAGGAAACTGAGGCCAAGGAGGGGTGGGAAAGATTTGCCCAAGGTGACGTGTGAGTGCACCATGGCACAGAGCCATGGCTGAAGGCTAGATATGCTTCTGCTTCTGGAATGTCCCGCCACTCAGTTTCTCATATCTTCTTCCCTCCTGCAGACACTGTGGGGCTGGAGAGAGACACCTTGTCTCTGGCTGCTCACCTGGATCATCTTGGTGTGGAGGCCCTGGCCCATCTCAGTGCCCCCGTGGGTCAGCAGCACAGAGCCATCTGTGTACACATGGATCAGGGCTCCGGCCTAAGGGAAGAGGTTAGCAGATACAAAATTTGATAAATTCCGATTCAGTTCAAGACTTGAGCACCAGAGCCCAGGAAAAAGAAAAACAGCAACAACATTTGGGATAGAAATCCTAGACAAAAATTAAAGCAGTATAAATCTCAAGATTTAATTATATAAAACTTCAATAGTTTGCCAAATTTTTTTCTCTCTCCCATCCTCAAAGGAAGGTAGGTCAAATATCTTTGTCTTCTACTCCGCTACAGCAGAGAACCTGCCCCTGGTTCTACAACCAGGAGGGTAAGAACCAGCAGGTGATCCTAGACCTCCATGTCCATCCCGTAACATTTGGACAAATAGGAACATGCAAGATCAACTTCATTGAAACGGCAAAGAGCTCCTCCAGCCAGCTCTGTTACCAGTGACCAGCAGTTCACCCTTGTGGCAAACAGAGGGGAAAAATGGATGTCATTCCAGCAGAAGTGGACAAAATTATACAAAGCAATTACCTGATTCATAAAAGGAACTGTGAAGCTTATTCCAAACTTGGTAGGAATTATGCTCAATCCTCTCTTTTTCCAACAATTCTCCCTGGAGGAAAAGGAACATTCTTATAGGAGCTTTTTGGCCATATTTAGGACAGCTTAGACATATTTCCAGCCAGTATCTTTATAAACTCAGAATAAGGCATCCTGGCAGCTTCCCATATAGTTGTCATAACTGAGTTGTGTCCCGTTGTGTAAGCAAAATGAGAAAGGGGAGAATTTGGGTTCTGGGTCATCCAGTGCAGCTGGAACAGGGCCCAACCCTGAGAGGCTGCACTTGAACATCTGTCTCTCCTTCCCTGAATGAAATTTGGATTCCACTGAATTCTGGGTTGGCGTGCCCAGGTGACATTGCACTGGGGACATCCCAGGGAGGAGTGGTGGTCATTCACCCAGGGAGAATGACAACACCCTGGGCATCCTATTTGGTTATCTGAGCAGCTCTGAGAAGACAGAACCACAGAATTATCCCTGCTTTGCAGATGATGACACTGAGGCCCAAGGATAGAGGTACTGCCAAGGTCACCTTAGACAGGCAGAGGTAGGCTCATCCCATGTACTCTTAGTCCTGGCAGCTGTTCTCCAGAACATGAAGTGCCCAGAAGACAGACAAATGTGTGAAGATGAACCTTGCTGTCGGGCTCTGATGCAGAGTACAGGCTGTAGGCCCCCCAGACGCCCAACTAAAGATCATGTCATCTCTTAAAGAGATGGTGGCTGCTGATGGTTTGGCAAATTCAGCAGCCTCATAGGTTATGCTTTAAATGATTAGCTTTGTCTTTTGAGTTGAGCAATAAGACTGTAGATTATGAAAAGCAAGGCGCTATCAGAACGCCATCCTTGGGCACTTACTTGTTGAACTTCTCCACCTCGCTCCTCCGAGCCTGATACTGAGAATTCGCCAGGCATTCATCCCAGCACCTGAGCAAGTTGAACCCCTCAAGCTTCTGGTTGAAGTGAGTCACGTCCCCTTCTTTGTACATGTTCTTCCTCCGCACCTTCCCAAGAAGAGAGACACTGAGGCGTTGCAGGTGACGAGAGACAAGGGGTATGAGAGGCATAAACTAAAGTTAAGCTTTCAGCCCCCCAACAGGACTTGCCTGTCCTCGGCTTTTGCCCCAGGGAGATACCCAAGATACAAGCCCCCTGGCCCCTCCAAGTGGGCTGAGCCGCTCTGACTTGTGCCAGCTTACTTCCTCTGCAGGCAGCCCACAGGTCTCTGCGACTTCAGACATCCAATACTCAGCGATGAGCATCCCCTGGGGGCCCCCAAAGCCCCGGAAGGCAGTGTTGGAAGGCAGGTTGGTCTTGCACAGCCGCCCAGTGCCCCGGATGTTGGGGATTTTATAGCAGTTGTCCATGTGGAACAGAGCACGTTCCATGATCTGAAACATAGGAAATCAAAGTGGGAGAGGAAAGTATTGATTTCATGGGTGTCTCCAAAAATGGATTTCAGGGGCTACCCTCTCCACCCCACCCTCCAGCTTTCCCAGTCCACTGACAACTGCTCTTCCTCAGGTCAAAACAATTCCTCCCTGACCTATCATAATGGTCTCCTTACTACACACCCAGCCTTCCAGATAATTTGGGGTGATGGAAATGTTAAAACATTGGATCGTGATCACAGTGGCATGACACTTGAAGTTCAGTGAAAAACATAAAATGATATACTTCAAGTAGATGGACTTTGATCTGTAAACTATACATCAGTGAAATTGTTTTAAAGAGTAAACTTATTTAAAAGTCAACATCGCAGAAGTGTGTAATGTAGAAAATGACAGTGGTGCGCCTTTAATCCCATGCAATCCCTGCCGAGTATGTGTTCTTTCCGAGTTTTCCCACCACATATCATCACACTCCCACACGCACACGCACACATTTACATGACACACACTCCATACCTCCAAACCCTGCATAAAGCTGGGTAACTAAATTTTTACTTGCTGTGCAAAACTAAATTTTATTTTGCTTGCTTGCCAAAATATCTCAAGCAAAAAGGATGCATTTCTAATCAGAAGTAATATAATGATCTCTGGGCTTTGGAGATTAACCCAGGGTGGAGAACCTGAAGGTACAAGCCACTTAGGAGGCAATTGACAAGAGCTGTGGACGCCTGTGCTTGCGTGTGTGGATGGCAGAGGGGCATGCCTGTGACCTCCCAGCCACCCCTGGGATGTAGCGGGCAGGTCCGGCTTACACTCTGGGACAGATCTATGGTGTTCCCGGCATTGCTGTAGTGTTCCACCTCCAAGGCCACAACCTTCCCCGTCTTCATGAAGCCAACCTGATAGAAAAAAAAAGAGAGATTTCTCAGCAGCCCTCTTTCTCTGACTAGCTCTAACTCTCCCCTTCCATTTTCTACCTGGAGGAAATGGAAAGATCAAGAACAGGCAATGAAGAAAAGGGATCACAGGACCAAGGGATCTCAGGACCAAGGGATCACAGGACCAAGGGATCACAGGACCAAGGGATCACAGGACCAAGGGATCTCAGGACCAAGATGGTAAGAAAGAGAAGAGCTAACATCTCCCCAGTGACAGCCCTTGGCTTCTCAACCTCCCCACAGAACCCCTTCCTTACACCTGCTCCCAGCTTCCACCTTCACCAGCAGGAGAAAGGAGAACATTGGTCAAGAGAGGCCAGGAGAAGAGAGCTGGGAAGAGAAACAGGGAGAGTATCGGAGACTCTCCTCACAGATTTTTTGATCAGCAAATAATACAGTTACATTCTGCACCCACATGAGGGGCTTCAGCATCCTAAACCTTATGTAATCATCAAAACAAACCCTTACAGGCCAATTACAAGTAAGGAAACTGGGACCTGAAAAGACCAAGTTACTTTCTTGGAGCCCACAAGGATTTGGGAATGAGAGACATACAATCCCTTTGGGAGGTCAAGCATGAAACACAGTCAGGAGAGGTCAAAGGGGAGATGTGCCAAAGCAGCCAGGGAGACAGGAAATGGACACACAATCCGAACAGGAAGCGGTTATCCCAAGATGCCCAGAAAAGGGATTGTCCCACAGGGAGATCGTCTGGCAGAGCTGGTGCCTGTCCTAACAATTCATGCCTGTCCAGGCTCTGGGAAGTTTTATTAAGCAATTCTTCTGATGTTTACGTCAGGCTGTGAACACAGTAACAGGAGCCATCCTATAGGCTGAATTGGCCCCAGATCTGCTGACAAATAATGTTTCTGAGCCGGATTAGACAAGGATGAGATCATGACCACAGTCAAATCAGACAAGGCGTGGCCATCATTCTGTGACATCACTCGGGAGGCGGCCTGCCAGCTGCCCCTTCTGTTTTGCTGTTGGCCCATTTGAATTTCTGCAGGTAGTCTTGGGAAAAGTCAGGACATCTGGATCTTTGTCCCAGGTTTCCTCAGTGAGATGCCCGCCCTGCACAGTCCCCTGATATCTAGAACCTTGTATCTGGCCAAGAAGGGATGCCTGCCGCCAGTTATCAGCATGTCCTCATCACGGTCCAGCATGCAGCGCACGGGGCGGCCAGTCCTGAGGGAGACACAGAGGTAAGAAAGCTGGGAGTTTAGAGAGCATCCCAGCTCTGTCAGGCTCAGGAATGAAAGCTGCAAGGACACCTCCTTCTCCACCCACACACCGAGCAGCCCCAACCTGCCCTGCTCCACTGTCTAGTGGGTCCACCTGTGAGGTGTGGCCTTGCCTTTAGGGGCCTCAGTGTCGGGTAGGGGAGATAAAACATTGACACAAACATGAGAGCACAAAGAACCAGGTGATGTTACCCTTACCCCCATGCCAAAGAGATCTAAAATCAGAGGCCAGAGAAAATTCAAAGCAACAGGAATCTACTTCCCAAAGCGGGGAATCGAGAAGGCCTCCTTGGCAGAGACCACCTATTCTTCCCACAGCCCACTGGGAGGACTCACTTGTGTGCAGCCAGGGCCACAGCTGTGGACACCAGCGTGCTCCGGGACTCCTTCCCTCCAAAGCCTCCTCCCATTCTCTTTACTCGCACCACAATCCGATTTTCTGGAACCCCTAACAGGTTTGCAACAAACGTCTGTGGGCAAAAGAAAAAAAAAAACTTGCACTGAATGAGTCATCTGGGCCCTCTTCGGGCCTGACTTGGAGCCTGCCCAACACACACAGCCTAAGTGCAGCTGTGAATTCTGAAATGCCCTGATTTGAGAATACACACACACCCCCATCCAGCCCTGGGTAGTGGTCCTGGAGCTAGCGCTCACCAGTCAATGCAGGTTGAATTTAGACACTGTTTTTAACCAGAGGGACAAGCAGCAGGTCACAGCACAATTTCAGAGCCAAAACTCATTTCATCTGGCCAGGAGCTGGAAGGTCATGTGAGTGGGGCCAACTGCCATAAACGTTAGCAACCACTCTCCCATTACAGACAGTAGAGAAATGGGGAATCTTCGAGCTGCTAGAGATAATTTAGTGGTCCCTGTGACAATCGATTAGTCCAACCCCTTCAATTTACAGGTGAGGACACTGAAGCCAGGTATGATTTGATCAAGGCCATAGAGCACCAGACTGAAGGAAGCTAGCACTCACTTGGCTCTGACCAAGTGTCAACACTCAGCTCATTACCACCACCTCACCAGGTACGAGCTTATAGATAGGACACGGGGGCTAAGAGGGTCTGACTCCAGGACTACAACCCTCAGATCACCTCTGGATAAGCCCAGATCTCCCTCTTCCCATTTCCCACACCACCATTCCTGTCTTGCCATGACCTTCCTCGTGCTCCACAGGACACTTGCCTGGGTCTTTGTGGGGTTCTGTGTAGACACAAAGAGTTCCATCTCCCCTGACTCTCTTTTTGGGACGGCAATGCTGCAGTGAGTCTCCAGGTAGAAGTGTTCTTGGCCACCGATGTACAGCTCACCTGGGAAAGTGGTAAGACCCCCACAGTGATCCCCTGCTCAGAGAGGTCAAGGTGGCTTTAAGGAGAGAGTATAGTAGCCCATGCCCTGCATAGAAACCACTGCTGTCAAGGAACCCAGTGGTTCTCCAAGTGGGCTAAGAAGTGACTCTCATTCTTAGCTATCTGAACCACCACTCCTACTACCCCAATAAAGAAACCAGAACAACACTGACTGCATCAGGTATGAAGTTCTCTTTGCACTGCAACCAGTAGAAATCAAAGATTTTCAAACTATCATTGTAAAATGTTGGAAAAAGTAAGAAGGAATTAGCAGATGTGATTTGCAAGCTGAAAACAAGAGAATCTTCCAGAAGCTACCAGGCCTGTTGGAGGGACTTAGTAACTTAGTGATGTACAAAATCTTCATCCTGGGGTGAGAGCTATGCACCTATTTTCACACTGAGATGGGGAGCAGAGAAGGGAGGAGGGGACAGAGCACTAGCTGAGGACAAGTGAGGACTGAGACCTATGGGGAAGCCAGGAGTTTGTATGATTAGAGGCCAGCAGACCCAAGGCCCACTGACTGTGGCCATTATCTTCCCTAGAGTCTCCCAAATCCAACAAACTATCTTCTCCCTAGAATTACTTAGGTATTTATAGCCTAGAGACGGTGAGTAGAGACTGAAATGCATGAAGTTCTTTCCCAGTCAGCCATGTATTATTCTGTTATCCTCTGTCAGGAAATCATTTTCCTGCCCGGGACTCAAGATATGGCTCTTGAATTTCATTCACAAACCAGGGCCACCCCATGCGCACTGCAGCATGGTGCAGCTGTACCTGAAACAATGTTATCTGCTTCTGAAAATCCCTTCTTGAGGTCCCCTTTTTCAATCTTCAGCTCGGATCCATAGAAGGAGTTGTTTTTTATAGCATCCTGAGGGTCAAAAAGAAGCTTCAATGACTTGGCTTTGGCAGGAGGCAGGGGAAGGTGATTTCCAATGGGGGGGAAGAGAAGCTCTTGGAATTGTTGCCTCTTTGCACATGCATCTCTTTAAGCTTAGACTTAAAGGAAGCTCATATGTAGCCAGAGTGTCCTATTCCTCCATTTCCGCAGATATAGGTGGACAACCCTGGATTTGAAGAAAAGCAAAGTCCTCCAGGAACCAAATGGAACTGAAAAAATGGGAGGCAAAATTCAATCTGGCTGTCAGAGGTCTGAATCCAGGATCACGATGGGGGAGATTTCATAGGACCACACATCTATCTGGAGATTTAAACATCTATCTGGTCAAATCCCACCTGCTGTTCTAATCTCACATAAAGTTGGCTTCAGGGACAGAGAGCTCACCCCTCTCTCAGCCCATTCTCAATTACCTCCATTGTGATGATAGCTGGGAGATCTTCATAGGTGATTTTTACCCCTAGAGCAGCTCTCTGTGCATGTTCTGGGGTGTCAGCAACCACAGCACCAATGATGTGCCCCACACAAGTCACCTAGGAACAGAGCCAAACTGTTAAAGCACATAACATGTTCCTCATGAAGCAGGTTATTTTGTTGTTCAAAACAGGCAAAGGAAGTCCTGTCCCAATTATTTCCCATTAAGGCACATTTTAGGAGAGCCCTGGGGTCTTTGCATTTCCTTATCCTACTATTTTGGATTATGTACTTCTTCATAAGTATTTAGAATCAGCAGAAATGGAGTATAACTTGGAGATCACAAACTTGTTTCATCTCAGGAGCCAATGCTGATGATTTAATGGCAGCCTGTTGAGAAAATGCCCAGGATACACTGTGGTGATTGATTAGTGATGTCTGCCATGAACAGCAGAATGGGAGTTTTGGCACCTTGAACAACATCTGTCACTCGGATCTGCTCCAACACCCGTCCTTCATATGAAGAGATGGAGACCCAGACAGCAAGGTCACAATTGGCTAATTCCTAGATCATGACTACAGTCTGAGACTCTAATAGCCATTTTTATTTACTTTCCACCACCTCACTGTCCTATCTTCTCTTTTCCGAAGTATACCTGAAGCTTCTCAAAGATGGCAATATGTCTTATATTTCATTGGATGCCCAAAAATAGCTTCCAAATGCTACTTCTGAGCCTTGCTCATGAACCAGTGTTTTTGTGGTTGTTAGATCTATAGCAATAATGATGATTGTCTCATTTTTATTTAATAATTCAATTCTAATAAAAGCTTAATGGATTTTCTCCAGGGATATTTTTTTCCCAGCATCTCCCCACCCCCACCCTGTCCTGCCTCAAATGAAAAGTCTTACTTATCAATTTGGAATATGAGGTTTCTGACAATAGGAAGCAATACTTAACAGTTCTATCTCTGATAATTATCTCTTGAGGATCCAATCAAATTATTGACTTAATTAGTTCACGTAGTGGTTGATGAACCTGGCTGAGTCTCTCTAACCACAATTCTAACAATGCTTCTGGGAGCTCTAAAAGTCTGTGAGCATTTTGTTCTACCAAATACTCTTTCTTGTGGAGTATTTGTGTCTCGTGGTTATAATTTTTATTCTCTCCATCACTTTTACATCAGTAATAAAGTGAATTTGCCCTTCAGAAACTCCTACTCACCTCTATTTTGGAACACTGGACTTGTATTAAAATTATATAAATTACTGTCTAAGAAATATCCAGTAAGAATATGGATTTTTATAGCAGCTGTATTGAATGTTTAGAAACTTTGTAATTTTGGCTGAACTCTATATACAGTTGAAATCAATAGAAGAAACTCCATGTAAGTGAATTATCAATGCACAGACTAGTAGTATTGTGACTTCTTTTCTCATTAGGTTGTGAATGTATTTTTATTTCCTTTTAATAAAGGATCTTAATCTTTTACCCTTAACACAATTATTAGTTCAAATATAATCTCCAGTCTTGTTTTAATGTCATTTGGCCTGCAGTCACTTTTTACTAGGACCAAACAACAGTCATCAATTAAATAAACAAGTAAACATTAAGTTAAAATTAAAAGTGCTACCAGGCAAATATATACCTATACTGATTGCACTAAATCCTGGCCAATGGCACTATGGCCACAGTATGTGAAAATGCACAATTGTTCAAGATTAGGGATTTGGAGGAACAAACAGAAATCAAAACTTAAAAGTCTCACGCTACAATTGGGTGGTTGGAAAAGTCACGACGCATTTTTGCATAGAAAACAGAAAAAAAAAATGTGTCATGACTTTTCCGACCACTGAATAACTTCATATAAAGAAAATTCAAGACATACCTCATCCTTCTCAAAGACTGATTCATCACCACAAATTCCAGTTTTTCTACTCCCAGGAATATCATCAGCAGAGAGAAAGCACTCAAATCCTGGCACCTTCTTAGCTTCTGACAAATCTATAGACCTGCAAGAAGGAGGGGGTGAGGGGCCAGGCCAGAAAGCTAGAGCAGAAGACATGCCAAGTCACCAGATTGAACAACCCTGTCCTCATTTTCACAGTTTTTCTTCTACTCTCATCCCTCTCTTATCTACATTCTGTCCTATCCTATCCTGTCCTACAAACAGTTAAGTGCTCACTATATGAAGGCTATGGGCTCAGTGTTGCTGAGGATACAAGATGAACAGGCCAGGCTCATGGACCTTGTATTAGGCCCTGCTCTGGTCTCCAAATCCAAGGGCATCCAATCATGGTGAACAGTGTCCATTCTGGAGAACTACAGCTAAAACCCACATCTCAGTTAACACCCAGACAGAATCACAATGGTTTTAGGGTGAACCCCCACCTGTCCCTCTAGACTGAGAGGCATGGGATGAGCCCACTATCTGCATGTCTCCAGTGTCTTTCAGGGTGCTCCCTATACCCTCCTCCCCCAAGAGCATTTCTACACTCACTTGATCTTGGCATGAGCCCGGGTGCTGGTGACCATCCGGAGGGACAGCTCATTTTCATAGCAAGGAATGTCATCACAGTACACAGCCTCCCCAGTTGCCTGCAGGTTGGCAGCCAGGTGGGGCAGGGGCCGGCCCACCATATCTTCCTTAGACTGACCCTTGGGCACTTCCTGGAACAACACAGTGGCCAGTCAGGCTGAGTTGCCAAGGACACAGTTCCCCTAGGCCCAGGAAAAGCACGGAGAGTTTCTGCCCGCTGACAGTGCAAACATGAGGAGCAAGAACAGAGCAGGAATGGGTGTGAGGGGAGCAGGGGTGACAGAAACAGAAAGTTCCATAAGAAATGACTGAAGGGTGGTCATGTGTCACTGTGCACAGGAACAGAAGCGCAAAGAGAGGAAACGGAATGTCCATTCCCTGGGGAGCAGGTAAACAGACTGCTCACATCATGGAATACCATGCAACTATGAAAACACACTTTTGAAGAATTGAAATTAGAAGGAAAAACAGGACATAAAACATTATATGTGTCTGTGTGTGTCTCTGTGTGTAATGATTCAGATTCCACAGGAAAAAGCAGAAATATTAGAAATATATACACACCCATAGATGCATAAGGAAAAAAAAGCAAAAATATAATAATTTTTCTCTTGGAGGTAGGATTTAGATGATTTTTATTTTGTCCTTTATATTGTTCTTTTTATTTATTGAATGTTTTCTATATGCCAGGACCTATCTAAAATATTTTATAAACACACTTAATTCTCAAAGGATCTTATGAAACAGGGGCCACCATTATCCACATGTAGGTGAGTGTTATCAACTTGTCCAAGAGGCAAGGAAATTGTAAGAGGGTAAGGAAATCGTGGGTAAGGAAATCGTGGGTAAGGAAATCATGGGTAAGGAAATCGTCCAAGGTTACACAGTAATAAAATAGTTTGGATTCAAGACCGGCAGGCAGGACCCAGAGTTTATGCCTTGGACCTTAACACTCCTGGACCATAACAGTCTGGGGTAGGGGTCCACACTGTGGCACAAGGGCCAAATCTGGCCTGCTTCCTGTTTTTATAAATAAAGTTTTGTTGGAACACAGCGACACACATTCACTCATGTACCATCTCTGGATGCTTTTGTCTATAATGACAGAGCTGAGGAGTTGCAACAGAGACTATACGGCCCACAAAACCTTATATGTTTATAGGAAAAGCTGACTCTTTAGTATTGATATTGATAGAAAATTATTGTTTTGTTTTGTTTTTTTAAGCCCAAGAGAACCCTTGGTTTTATACATTAGCCCCACAGCAGAGACAGAAAAGACAAAACGGGGAGGGGGAATTTCATTAAAGGGCAGATAGAGAGTAATCCCAAGATAGAAATTTAGGTGGCAAGGGGAAAATAACTTCATTGACATTAATATAGTGTCATTTTCTTCCTGAATATTCACGCATAATGGTAAGGAGCTGTAGCCATCTACATATAGTTGGGATTAGTCATTCAGCAGAGGTCAGCACCCTCTGATGTGGCCTGCAAGCTCCCCTGACATTAGCCACACACTCACTGTACTCACTTGAAAAAGCTGGACATTGGTCGGAGGGTCTTTCTGAAAGAGTAAAGTAGCGCTGGCAAAGGTGGGGTCCAGTTTACCACACTTCTGCAGAGGCAAGATAACAGAGGGGATTAGGACTATTTCTATCCTTAATCCTATCCTTGATTTTTCCCAAGTGATGAAAGCACCATCTGTGTCTCTCTCCTCTTCATCTTATTCTCCTTCTAGTACTGGCTGTATCCATCTCAACAACCCAGTGTGGCTCTGAGAGCTCACTGTACCTAATGGCCTCAGCTCCCATCCCACCTCCACTGCAGCCTGCACCTGAGTGGTTTATATTCCTCCAGCACCCCAACAGCTTCCCTCCTTCCCACACTGATGCCACCCCATTTTGTAGATCTTATAACTGAGACTTAGAGTCATGACCTATTCAAGTGTCCATGTGAGGCAATGACAAAGAACCCACTTCCCTGACTCCAAGTCCAAGGCTCTGCTTCACAGTTTGACTCCCATTTCTGGGTGGCTCCCTGGGCTCCCTCTGATCCCTGCTCCTCTATCTTTAGATGTCCAGGGGAGAAGAGCATGTTTACCTCCTCGTCCATAGCACTCTCCCAAATTCCCAAACAAGAGTGCTGTGAAGAATGTTCCTTGCCCAGACCCCCACACTCACATCATCAGCATCCTGTTTGCCCAGCTTCTGAAGCACCGTCAGGTAGAACTTGAAGAAGAAGCTAACAGTGAGAGTGCGCCGGAAGTTCACCATGCCACCAGGGGCGTCGGGGGACAGATACAGCTCCTCCGCCAGGCCTGCACACACGTCCTCTAGCAACTGCTCATTCCAGAACCTGCCAGAGAGCAGAGAGCAGGTCACTGGAGAGCACCCCACAGCCCTCAGGACTGCTTGCATGCGGGGTCATGTTCGGGGCCTCAGAGTCATGTGAACCTCAAGTCAAAATTTGGCTTAGATACTTATAATTATGTGACTTACCTCCTTGAGAAGCTTGGCAAGTTACCTGGCCTCCCTAAGCCAAATGTTTAGAAGTAGAAACAGTAAGACAGACCACAAAGATAATGCATTCAATCTACTGAGTCCTTGTAATGAGCTAAGCAATGTCCTAAGTGCTTTATGTGAATCAACATTTTTAATATGAAATTAGAAGTGCAGTAGGGAAATTTTTATATTCATTTTACTGATGAAAAAACTGAGGCACAAAGATTCAATAATATGACCTATGTTACCCATTTGATTAGCATTAGAGCCAGGAATTGGAACCAAAGAGCCAAACCTCAAAGTTAAACTTTTCTATCCTATGCAGTTATTGCGAAGATTAAGAAGGATAGTGCCTGTGAACTGCCTGTTACCACTGCTGCTTTACAGTGGCCATAATAATGTGGGATGTATAGTAATAGTAGGAACTATAGTAACCACAACAATAGCAGTAGCAAAAGTACTCCTAGCAATAGTAATAATTGTAGCAGCAATGCTAGCAGAATATTAGCTGTGGCAGAAGCAGTAATAATAGAAGCAACAGTAATATAGCACTAAAAGCCAAAGTAATAATAGCAGTATCAGTAGAAGCAGTTGTGTTAGTAGTAGTAAAAGCACCAATAGTAGTAAAAGTAATAGCAGCAGTGATACTACTATTAATAGCAATAGTGGCAGCAGTAGCAGTAGTTATAGTGTTAATAGCAGTACTAGTAATAGTATTTGCAGTAGTAATAGCACTAATAGCAGTAGCAGGAAGAGTAGCCACAATAATAACCCTACAAGTAACACCAATAGCATCCAGTTGTAGTAGGAGTAGAGACAACAGGTAGCAATTGTAACAGCAGCAGTAGCCCAGCAGTAATACTCATCATTCAGGCAGAAATTGCAGCAGTGATAGTAGCCATAGCAATAGCAGCAGGAGCAGTAAAGACAGCAGCATAGTAATGAGTGCAGTAGTAACTGCAGAAGCAGCAGCAGTCACAGAAATAGTATTGTAATAGTGGTTGTATCTGGGGTAGTAGTAGCAATAGCAGTAGTAAAAGTAGTAGCTAGTAATAGTACAGCAGCTATAATACTACTGGTAGTAAGCCTCCTGGTAGCAAGAGGAGAAGGACAAGGAGCAGCAACAGCAGCAGAGAGCAGAGAGAGCAGCAACAGAGGTACTAGCAGTAGCAGCAACAGTGAAGTGGTCATGGCAGGAGCAGCAGCCACAGCCTCTGAATGCTGTTCTTGCTCTCACTTGGACAGCTGCTTCTCCGTGGTCTTACAGGCCGCGATGGTCCTGTCGGCCATCCCGCCGTAGCACAGGGCCAGCTCCTTGACCTTTGTGCTTCCTGGCTGGAAAAGGACCCTCATGCCGCAGGTCACCTTGGCTATGTCGTCTTCCCTCCGGGAGGCCTGCTTGAATGCTGAGAAAAACTCGCCCTGCAAGAGAACAGAAAGGCCCCGTCTTTATCATGGTTTGCAGTGTCTGCAGCTGGTGAAGCCGACCCAGGCATGGGTTGCGCAGTCACAGAAGATGGGGTGATGATCCCCTCGCAGCTTGGCAAGGAGGCCGGGTCAAAGACCCAGGCACCCCTGGCCAACTCACTCTCGGAAGAAGTGCCAGAGGACATTCTCAGAGCTAGGAAAGAGGAGGACTTCTGCCCATTGATCAGAAAAACTGAAAGACAGGGACAAAGAGCTGGGTGCTTCCAGCCAAACAGCCAGGGGAAGAAAGGGGCTCACAGAAGCTCTTCAGAGACCCATGCTGGGCCCCCATGGGTCCGCCTGGAGGGTGGGTGTGGGCAGGACAGGGGTGGTACAGAGACCTCTCCTGGCCTGGCTGCTTTGCAAGCAGATACAATGAGATGTCAGTGGGTGTCTGAAAACACACCTCAACACTCAGCTTCCACAGCTTCTCACTGACCTCTCTCCCACCCCCCCAGGCTGGATAAGTTCACATGTGTATAGACTACAAAAAAACAAAGGAACAGGTGACACCAAACCGAAACAAACCCTGGAAATCTGACTACAGAACTGTGACTACCAGAGGGGGAAATAGGGTGTGGGAGCAAGGTAGGAGGGGCCCAACAGTCCAGGGAAAGACAATGGGTGCTCTGCTGGTGGGTGTGGTATGGCAACACACGCCTGAAAGGTGCCTGTACCCCTAAATCATACAGTGCTGTAAACCAATGTTACCCCCCAAAATAATTTAATTTAAAGTCAAAAATAAATCTTGTTTCCTGAAAGAGTCACACTGTGGAACACGAGCTGCTTCTGTGCTCTGAAGGTTCCCGCTGGGTTCAATACCCGGTGGGCACTGAACTCTGAGTTTGAACTCAGTTCTGGAAAAGAGATTTCAGTTTCCAGGATGTGCCAGTCCACGGTGATGTCTGACTGGGGTGCCCGGAAATGTGAGTGCCAGGTGGTCAATTGCTCTCTCTTGAGAAGGCCTTCTAACGTCAAGTACTCAAATCTTTTGAGGTGACTTTTCATGTTTATGGTCCTACCCGGCCAAGAAGCAGTGCCATGCCTGCCTCCTCTCCCTATCTCATAGGTTTCCAATTTTTTTCACTGATCTGTGAAATACAAAACTCTGGGAATCATGGCTCAAATGGCCTATAAGGACAAGCTAGGAGATCATTAAGAAACCACCTCAGGGATGTAATTACTCTAATTCAATTAACATGTTCATTAAGCAGGTCAAAATTAGCAAGGGCCAAGCATGCCTTGCAACACTCGATAACGCCCAAGCTCTGGCAAATCCTTCTCCCTCTTCTTTAGAGGTGGTTCCCAGCCTCTCACAGATTGCTTCTCTAAAAGGCCACCGTGTAATGTGGAGCTGCTGAGAGATGAGAAAATTGCACCAGGTCAAGCCACCACAGGCCCCACGGAACAAGAGCAAGGCAGCCAGGGGCTCCCAGCCTGCCCGAACAGAAGCCCCACTAGTGGAGGGTGGCTGCACCCGAGCCACCCAGAGCAAGGGCAGCAATCTGACCCCTCTTGGAGCCTAAGGTCAGAAGGTCAGAGTGTGACTTACTCTGAGCTCCTGCACTCAAAATGCAAACTCCTCTGGCCTGGGACAGGGACACTTGCCAGCAGGATGTGTCCTTAGACACATGTGATGTGGGCAGTGACCACTGGCTCAAGACAGTGGCCAGAAACCTGATGAATTACTTCTGTTCAGTCCTGATGACAACCTGAACAGCAGGTAGCGCCATTTTGCAGACAAGGAAGCTGGGGCTCAGGAAGGCAAATGACTAACTCAGGGTCACACATCTAGCTGTCTGGTTTCATAATCTGGGCCCTCTGCCCCAGCCCTGAGACTTCTCTTCATCCGGAAAGGGATCTAGCTGGTTAAAGGCAAAGTTAAGCAGCAAGAATATCCATCTAAAGCTGGAGATGCTAAGATGGTCCCCAAGGCCAACTCTGGGCTACTTATCCAGCAGGAATAGCAGGGATTAGGGCACAGCATCTCACCTCCCTGCTGTATGGGATTTCAATGGAAAGAAGTATCTCCTCTTCTTTCAAGAGGGTCTTTCTGTAGCCAGGGAAGAAGTTGTGGTCCATCTGAAGTGTCTTCTTGGTGCCTATACAAAGGCAAGATGAAGAGGGACCATGTGAGCAACAAAGAATACCCCCCATCAAGGTTCCCCCCAGTGTCTGCTGTGCACAGACAGAGGGAGTGGCTGCACAGTTGGGGCCAAGGTCCTCTTTCTCTAAAATCCTTCAGCAACCATGTGCTGGTGAATATTTAACAGTTGGTTCTTTGAAAGTGGAAAAAAAAAGCCCTGGTTCCTAGCAGTTGCTAGTTTCTAGCATATAAATACTCCCACCCTAGCCAATTTCAAGCTACCATAGTGACAACACTAGGTATAAAGTTGGAGACGGGTAGCAAGAGTGGACGCAGCAGGCCTGCTAGGCCCCAGAAGGTCTGCTTGCAGCTGGACCTTCCTGTCCTCGAGAACGTGGATGTCAGGAGGATTCGCAGGCTCCTGCATGAGCATGGTTCACTAGCCTGCACTGGGCACAGGCAATGTGGTTTCTATTGACACTGCTGCATTCTGGGAGTCTGAACTTTTGGTTCTTGCCAGGCAGAGGGATGTGACCGACCCCAGTAAGAGCCCCAGGTGTGGACTCCTCAAGGAGCTCCCCTGGGGAACAGCACTTCACCTGTGTCCTCACAACTCAACTTGTTGCTGAGGGGACTAAGCATGTCTGTGTGACTCCCCTGGAAGAAGATTCTGGACCCCTGTGCCTGGTTTCCTCTGGACTTTGTCCCCTGCACCTTTTCCCTTTGCTGATTCTGCTTCATTTCCTCCTGCTGTGATAAGTCATAGCCACGGTCGTGACTACATGCTCAGTCCTGTGAGTCTTACTGTCCAGTCACCAAACCCGGGGCAGATCTTGGGGTCCCTCTGACCAGGAAAGATGCACAATAGCACACTATTACAGAGCACCCCACTCTACAAGACAAGGGGTAGAAATAACTTCAGGAGCACAGACTGTAATCAAATGAAGTGAAATAATTTGGAAGTGATGAATCCTGAGTATTTTTGACCTTTGTTTTTAATATGATTTGTTTCCTCATAAGTTTATGTAAGTTGATTGTTCATAATGGTCACTCTGAATAAATGCTCACAGATTCCCTGAAGCTTCGGTGCATCTTGGCTCCAGCACAATGCTAAGTAAGGCATCTGGGTGACAGAACCTGTTGTGAATGCCTCATAAAGAATGGCTCAGCTCTCCTGCGTGCATCTCCCTTGAAGCCTCCAGGGATCCAAGCCCAGACAGTTGGGTCATGGAGCTTTGGGTCTGGTTTCTCCAGAAAGTGACCTTGCTTGTGAGACTTTTATCCCCCAAGGCCTTCTGCCCCGACCTCTGCGTGCGGCAGCTCACCTCTGGACACGATGGTCAGCTTGGCCCCGCTGGCCATGAACACAGGATTGAGGTCGGAGATGGGGCTAGCATTGATGATGTTCCCGCCGATGGACTAGGAAAAGCAAGAGAGTGTAGGTGAGAGACCTCGCAGGAAACCCCTGGTCCATAGCTGGGCCCAGACACAGGGCAGATGGGAGAGACCTGCTAAAAGGAGCACCTGGAGGACCTGCGCCCCTTGTAGACATAAGACGGGCACAGCAAGAACCCGGGCATTCAGAATGATGTTGGATGAGCTGAGAGTGCTTGGGCTTGGACATTTACCAGCCAGGAAACCAGACCCAGCCCTTTCCAGCCGGTGTGTTCTTTCAATTTCACCCAACCTTTTCCTGAACGGGTTGAAGAGACTCATCACAGAGACCAATGAGAGTTCGCACAAAGAAATAGAAGATAAACATCAAGGAAGAAAAAGAGGAAATCTTCAGGATGAACAGTTTGCTCTAAATAAATCTGATTCCTGGCAATTTAGCCAAAAATGTAAGAAAAGTCAAGTACAGGGTTTCGTTACTAGCAAAGAGGAAGAAAACCAGTTGCACAATAAAAACAAAATCCTTCTTGGAAGTGGCCTCTAGATGAACTGAAAACTCAGCAGAGCCTCTCAAGTCTGTCTCATCTGCAATCAAACATTGAGGTTAAATAATGCACTGTCCATATTTAGATATTTTTTCTGTGAATAGTGTTTTCATTTGATTTTCAAAAAAAAGTGTGTCCTGTGCAGGGGGTGGGGGAAGGGAAAGGGAGAGGCTGTTTTACCTTACTTTGTTCTGCTTTTTGTCTTAACTTAAAAACAAAAAGTGGAAGGGAAAGGTTGGCTTTCCTCCTAACACCATCAACTGCTCTGAGCTTCAGGTGGCACCTGTGCCAACTGAGAATTTGGGGGCTAATCTGAAGGCTGATGAGCATCGTCAACAGGTGGACCCAACTCTTCTCTCAGGCGATCTACCTCTGGCTCTCCCCAAAACCCTGAAACTACCCTCTTCCCATTTTGGCTTCTCCCTAATCCAGCTCTCAACCCCTTGCTGATAGGCTCAGCAAAGTTCAGGAAAAGGAAGCTCCATCTCTCCAACCGCATAGATAAAGACTGAGTCACAGAGCGAGTGTCTGGGGTGACTCCATCCCCCTTCATCAGGAGCCCCTGTGGGGCCCCATCCCAGTCCACCCGAGGGCAGAGACAGGAATCTGCATTTCAGCAACACCCCAGGTGGGGCTAAGCCCTGGGGTGAGGACCTCTGGGTCTGTGGCAGAGGCCAGACAAGCCCCCTCCTTGTGTTGCAGGGCCGTCCCCTGAGCCTTGGGGGCCCCCAAACAGGACTCACCGCCACAGACTTGACCTGCTTCCCCGCAAACCAGCGCAGCTGCTCCAGGACCCCTTTGAACACCTCTGTTTTGTAGGCAGGCAGCTTGTCAACTGCTTCATACAGTGTCTGTTCCATGAGGTTCAGGGAACAAGCAGCTCCAAAGGAGATTCCTGGGAACACACACACAGAGTAACAACAATCCCCCTCCAGCCTGCAGAACTTCATATAGAACTTCTGTGAAGCTTTATAACAACCTGAGTGAGACTGAGCGGGACTCCTGTCCTTATGTGGATGAGACATTAAGGCACAGAGAGGTTCAGTGACTTGCCCGATGCCACACAGCTAATAAAAATGCCAGGCCTCTTGATCCCACAACCAGTGGCCCTCTACTCATAAAATCAGATATCGAGGGGAAGGTCCTGGCATTTTTTTATGTGTAAAGCACTCCCCCACCCCACTTTCCCCTTACTCCTATGAGTATAGCCAGCAGTAAGAGGAAGCAAAGATTTCGTGGCCCGTGCCCACTGGACCTATGAGGATGCTCCATGCAGGAAGGCAGTGAAGAACACCCCCTCCAGGAGGAGCAGGCAGCAGTGAGGGCCTAACAGGAGGCTGCCCTGGCACCTGCCACCCCCCTGTATACCCCAGTCCCTCCTGGGCTCCAGATGAGCCTCCCCTCAGCCTCTTACCGTCAGGCCCATGCTCCACTGAATTGAGCTCTGGGATCCAGGCTGGGCAGACAATCGTAGGAAACAGCTTATTCTTAAACTTCATCTCAATGCCTGGAGAGAAACAAGAAGCTTGAGGTCAGAGGTCTGTTCTCCTATCACCAGGGAAGGCCTGGGTGTTTTGCACCACCACACACTGGATGTGTGATTTGTTCACACTCGCATGCTCTGGGGTGTCTCGGGACCCAGAGGCATCATGAACAAGATGAGGGACTAATTACCCCACCACCTTACCCTACCATCACCTGGAAAACTGTCTTTTCCTCTCAAAAGAACCTATCAGAATTCAAATGAGATGAACCTGAATTCACTCGTGTGCGTGTGGTTGTGTGTGTGTGTATGTTTTTAATAACTATTAGAAAACACAGGTATGAAGATATATCCGGGAGCCCTCTACATAGAGACTCCCTCTGTTTACAGCCAGGCTCAGAGAGGTTGAGCTTCTCACCCACATCACACAGCTGACAATGGACACATTTCAGTAATTGAGCTGATAGCGCAGTTGGGGTATAATAGTAATAATCATGTGAAAGAGGAACATTCAGACAAAAAGGAAAATTGAGAGAACTCAAATCTGCCTCCCAGCCCCCAATATCCGTCTCCATCACGTCTGTTTCTGCCCCTCCACCCCCGCCCCGGCTAATGAAGTTAGAAGACCCCTCAGACACAGCAACACAGCCCTTCCCCTGCCCCCCCCACAGTGCTGTAGAAGGAGAACCGTGAAGAAGAAATGTCATATGTGGTCAACTCGTCTGTGACACAGGAGCAAAGAATATCCACTGGAACAAGGAAAGTCTCTTCAATAAACAGCGCTGGGAAAACTGGACTGCCTCGTGCAATAGAATGAAACTAGTCCACTCACACCATGCGCAAAAACCAGCTCAAAATGTACAACAGACTGGGATGTAAGGCCAGAAACCATAAAATATATAGAAGGAAACATCACGGGTGCTATGGTGGTGGGAGAACCACAGGGACTACACCTAAGGGGAGAAATCAAATACTGTCAAAAATGAACACTAGGGCCTCCCCAGTGGCGCAGCGGTTGAGCGCTGGGTTGCGAAGCTGCCCGCGGCCTCTGCGCCACCAGTTCGATCCCCGGCTGCTCCCCAGCCACCGGAGGAGGGTCCCACATGGCGCGCAGACCTCTCCTGCCGCCCGCTGCTCCCCTCAGCAGTGTACTTCGGTCCTTCTGCCTGCTCTGCTCCCTGCTCTGGCTCTGGTGAATTCTCTCACCCTCCCGCGCTTCTGACTGTACCCAGTGCTTGCATAAATAAATAAATAAATAAATCTTTAAAAAAAAATCTTTTGAGGGCCCCCCCCAGTGGTGCAGGCAGTTGAGTGCAATGCTGTGAAGCTGTCCGCAGCCTCTGAAGTGCCTGTAAGATCCCCACCAGCTGCAGAGCGACCCACATGGCGCGGCAGACCTCTCCTGTGGCACCCACTGCTCCCCGCAACAGTGTCTTTCGGTCAGTCTGCCTGTTCTGTTCCCAGCTCTGTCTCTGGTGAATCCTCTCACCCTCCCGCGCATCTGGCCTGTACCCCAGTTCTTGAATGCATGAATAAATAAATCTTTAAAAAAAAAATCTTTGAATTCCTTCCTCTGGGACTCTAACTGGGTTCAGGACATTGTATGACTCACGATGAGAAACATGTCACATATGAAAGGTTCCTCTAGGCAGTCCTTCTCCACCATAACTCATGCTTCCCTAGACTGTCGGGCCACCAGGAGCACATCACCTGAAGTATCTTTCACAGTGTCACAAAATTGAGGCTGGGGACTCTGGCCATACCTGTACTTGTATGAGCTGGGCCAGCTCTGGGTTCTACCAGAATGACAGGTAGAGGCCCTCTCTCTGTGGCTGAAGATCCAACAGAACCCAGGGCTCAGGGGCTCCCTCTTGTACCAGAGTCAGGGGTCTCTCCCAAGCTTAGCTGTTTAAAAGCATGTCACATCCCCACACCAGAGGTGACTTTTCTGAATTCACCCAGCTGGCAAGGGATTAAGCCAAGTCTCTGTGACTCCGAAGTCAGGGGTCTTTGCAGGAAATCAAGTCAGGGCTCCCCTGGGGTCCCCAGGCTCCCTGCAGGCCCAGAGCCACCCCAGCTCTTACCAATCTCCGTGTTCCCCACCACCAGCTTGGCCTCGGGGTGCTGCGCTTTGAGATCCAGCAGCTCCTTCAGCATTGAAACCTGGATCCAGGTCACACGCTCTCCTTTAAAGCACAGCCGCTTCTGAGGAGTGTCTTTCAGCCTCTGGAAAAGACAGTTTTCTCATTGCCCTGTCTCCTCCTTCCCACCATCTTTCCTTGATAAACTGCTTGAAGTCCAGAATGGGACCAACTCTTCTGCTGCTTTAGTGCTGAATTCAGAATGACGGTACATGGTCCGGCCAGAGTGAGGGGAAACCCTCTGCCCCAAGGCAGGAATTACAGTGCAGCTGATGTAGCATGACTGCACTTCACTTTTGAAAGACCTGGGTAGAGAAGGCGCTAGCAACCTCGTTTCTTACAGGCAAACAAGCCTGAGGATCAAGGTTATAAGACCTGCTGAAGGTCACCCACCACAAGGTGACCTGAGCTGTCCAGGTTCTTTGAACCTCTGGGCATGACAGAAAGGAAGGAAGTGCAGGTTGAACCCTAATGGACAAGGAGGACATCGGGTCCTGGTGGGTATGAAATAAAGCAGGTTTCCAAGACTCACAGCACAGAAACTTGGCTGTGTCCTTCCCTGGGGCATCACCTACCAGCAGCTCTGGGGGGAAGATGGGCTCCTGGGTGGGATCCAAGGGCATGAACTCCTCTGGGTTGAATAAAGATGGCGAGAGAGTGATCTGCTGGAAAAGGGAACAGATCGATGGTGTAGTATTTCCTCCTGAAAACACTGTGGGCCCAACCCAGCCCTCTGTCCAGCGAGCTGGTTTCCAACCCTCCGCAGACAGGTGGAGGGCAGGCCGCTCCTGGGCAGCAGGGACAAGGAGGACTGGCCAGTGGCCCACAGGCTTTTGTGCACATTCACTGCCTCCTTGTCTGGAGGGAACTGCTTCTGCTTGTGGCCACCACTGTTGTGAGTACAGGGAGCTCATGGGCTCCTTGGACCTGAGGTTGGCTCCTGGGCTCCCAGGCAGAAAAGGGCCACTTACCGTGTCGTCTTTCTTCTGGTTCATGCAGCAGTTTGGGTTGCTCCCATTTCCACCGCAGCATCCACCATCCTAGAGAGATGACCAACATTTGCACAAAAATATTTTCAAAGAGTTTTCCCAGGAGCTAAAGAATCTGGATCATGAACATCCTGTAAAACCTAAATCCGACACCCATCCCAGATCTACAGGAACAGCAGATTCCCCACCTGCCCCCACCTGCCCACAGATAGGGTTAGGGCCTCTGCTTTAATGACTTTCTCTCACTTGGTTTAAGTAAAATAACTCAGGAATTGTAAAACGAAATGTAGATTAAATAACTTGTAAAGGAACAATAGAACAAGAAGATGTGGTACATATACACAATGGAATATTACTCAGCAATCAAAAATGATAAACTCATGCAATTTGCAGCAACATGGATGGATCTGGAAGGGATCATGTTCAGTGAAATAAGCCAGAAAGAAAAAGAAAAATACCAGATGGCCTCACTCATAGCAGGAATTTAGAAAACCTAAATAAGGGACCAGGAAAAAGACTAATTATAATAAAGTAAAAATCAAAACCAACAAGCAACTATAAACCAGAGACACACTATGGGGGGAGTGGGGGAGTAGGATCAAAACAAGTGGGAGGGTGGGAATTGTATGGGGACTATAACCAAGATGAAAATGCATACATTGTGCAAAAATGAAAAATGATGTAAAAAATACATAAAATTTAAAAATAATAAATAAATAAATAAAAAGAAATCACATAATTTCATTTTGTAAGCAATTTGAAACCATTGAAAAAAATGTGTAAACTGACAAAGATTTTTAAATGTGAAAACTCAATGACAAGATGGTGTAAGTGAGAGAGTACTCTTGAACATGGCCAATATAAATTATAATGAGGGAATCTTATAAGAAATCAATTTACCAAGAACCTAAACTTTTCCTGTATGTGTTTGTGTGTGTGTGTGTGTGTGTGTGTGTAAAGATTTACACTATGCTAACCAAATACATTAATGACAGATGAAAGGGATTTAAGATAACAATATATGCAATTTTTTATTTATATATGTAATTATCTGTAATAGTAGAAAGTTAGAAATCATATAAAATAAACACAGAATTGATCATTTTAAAAAAAGAAACAATAGAACATCCTGGAAGCAGCAGAGAAATTTAATTTTAAGAAAATTTCTCCATGAAAGCTAGGCCCTACTTTATCAAAACATATCCTTGTGCCCCTTCTCCTCCTTCAGAGTTGCTCCCATTGGCCCTCTCCACGCTCAAGGGCCTCTACGTCCTAATCAGTCAAGTCCTGTGGGGCCTGACTGGGTACCTCCCCAGCTGGGGTCTCTGGGGTATAATCAATATATAATCAATATAATCAATATCAAGACCAATGCTGGGTCCAGACAGTGTTGGCCAGCAGGCCTGATGGCCTCACCAGCACTTCTTTCCAGAAAGGACCACTTTTCATCCCTCACTGTGGCCTGATCTGCATACAGGGCTGAAGAGCCATCACCTATGGGAACAGGACTGGCTCAGGACCTCTCAGGGTACCAGTGGCAAAGCATAGCATAGTGCCCCAGTGGTGCCTCTCAGAACAAGGCATTGAGGGGGTCTGTTGGCCTGACTGAGCTGCTCAAAAAGGCTGGAATGTCAACTCAAGTCCTTGGGAAACACCCCAGAATCTGGAGTTGTGTTGAGGAACAAAAGCGAAGCAAACTCCCAGGCACAGCCCAGGGCACTCTAGAGAAGCAGACATAGGGGTGACCAGCACTCTGCTCGGCTCTGCTCTACCCTGGCCCACCACCAGATGGGGGATTGCCACCCAGTAGGACCATTTCTATGACAAGACTCTGACCCTGGGAAGGAGCATCAAACACTGTAACATGGGTATTATTATAACACTGTAACATGGGTATTATTATAATCCCCAGTTTAGAAACAAGGAAATTTGTCCAAGGTCATGCATCTATTAAGTGAAGAGATGGGATTTGAACCCAGATCCGCAGACTCCAAACGTGAATTTTCAGTCATTTTCATTTAAACCCACACCTCCAAGTACCTCATTCTCAACCACATTTGCCAGGGTGGGGCATCTTTACAGACCCATCTCCACCCCTTTGGGGTAATTTGGACACTCTCTCAAAGTCCCTAAAGTCAGTGAACAGGAGTGTGACTCTCACCCAAACCCAAATCCAATTAAGATGAGACCTTTTGACTGAAGTCAGGATCAGCCCAGTTGAGGAATCGGGTAAAATTTGGGGAGATTAAGGCAAAAAAGGAAAGGGCAGTCCACCGTCCTTGCAGACGGCAGGTATGCGTCTGTTTATATAATCAACACCAGCACGCCAGCTGCGGTTTCTCACCCAGCGTTACATGAACACTGCAGGGATTCACACACTAATTGGAGATCTAATTAACAGTTTCATAAGCCCAGCAGAATGCCAACTGCAAGCGGCAGCGGGAAAGGGAAGCAGGAGGAGCGTGAATGCCAAGTCGGACTGGGCTGTTATTAAATGCCACCTGATGACCCATGTCTGAGTAAGCCAATTTCCAAGGACAATTGCCAAGTCAGATGTCCTGGAGGAAGATAGCTCTTAGGCAACATGCTCTTCCAGAAACTGGCTCTTCAGGCCTTTCCTGGAAGGCAAGTTCCCATGCAGAACCCACCGCCGTGCCAGGTACCTGCTACGGGGAGATCTACCAATTGACCCCTTGTCTTTCTTCTCTGTAATCCAAAGGCACCTGGCACCCCTCCCGACTGTGATTCCCAGGTGTTACTGCTTTAGGAGCAGGGCAGCTGTTGTCCTGAGCATCCTCTTACCGTGGCGAAGGTCCGGAAGCCCTGGAGGATGGACCTGTAGCCTGTGCAGCGGCACAGATTTCCTGGGGGGTGAAAAGGAAAATGACCATGTCAGCACAGGTCCAGGGTAGGTGAGGGGTTTGTGGCTTTCCTTCTGGCTCAATTAGATGCTCTATTTACACATTCTATTTCCTGTGCTTGACTATCCCCCTCCTCTTTGTATTCCTGACTGCAAAACATCTATCACTTCTTCCAGGAAGTCTTCCTAGAATACCTGTACTGAAACAGGTGGCCCTCCTAAGTGCTCCCAGGGTGCCTAGTCATAGCTTTAGCAGTGAGCTTATTAAACCACATTATAAACTCTCTTTCCCTACACAGTGAATTCCTTGATAATAGGGATGATACATTCAGCCAAGTCCCCTGTGCCCTCCATAGCGCCTGACATCCAGCAAGACCCGATATAACTGATGGAATAAATGATCGATTGAAATGGTGAATAGTGGGAGAGTCTTTTCTATTCAATTCAGAGGAACAGACACCAGATCTAGATTCCTAGGTCCCTGAACAAAAGGTAAAGTAGGAAGCTCCTTTCTGGCCCAGGCTCAGACTCATGACCACCTTCCTCATGCCGGCAGATTCCTGTGCAGGTGACAGCTGAGAGGGAAGGAGACATGTCACTAGTCTCTGTGGAGCTTCCAAATGACCTCCTTTTGAACCAGCCACCCATGCTCCCCAAGCCAGCACTGGGGGAGGGCAGGGAAACACCAGGGGATCCAAAGCAAGGAAACCCCAAGAGGTCCCCAAACCATCCAGTGTTCTCCAAGCAAAGAGAAGACCCACATTCCTGCAGAGCTCAGCCAGCACATTGGGATGGCCTGAGCTTTTCCTCCAAAGAACAGTAACTCTTCCACTCCAGCCCTGCCCCGACCTCAGCAAATCCCCTGTACTGAAACAGAGGCTGCCGTCCTGTCTCTAAGGCTGTGCCCAGCGCTCGTACCTTGGAAGGCGTCCTCAATCTCCTCCATGCTGGGTTGAGGCTGGTTCCGGAGCAGCGTGTACATGCTCATGACGATGCCAGGGGTGCAGAAGCCACACTGAGAGCCATGGCTTTTGGCAATTCGCTCCTAACACAGATAACATAGGCACCTGTGATGGCAAAGCCCATTCCAGGCTCCCCACAGGGTGCACCTGCAGCCAGTCTCTGCTAACACAGTCAAACCCTTGAGCCAAGTTACCTAGCTCCCCTGAGCCAAGTTTCGTCTGTATAAGGACCACCCTTGTACTTATATCTAGAACTGTAGTGAGGTTCCAATGAGAGAGTGAATCCACTGAGTTGTAACTTAATATTGTACCTCGCATACAGTAGGCAGGCAACCAGTGCCAATTCTCAATAGGAAGGTCCCTTCAAAGAACCGCAACCCTTAGACAGATGGGGCTTCTGCCCTCATTCCCTTCACTGAACAGTGAGCACATAGGGCTGGAAACTTAAGACATTTACCCAAGATCACACAAGGTGATGTAAGAGTTGGGTCATATTCTTTTAACCATGCTACCACACAATCCAAAATCAAACAATATTTAAGAACCATTGGATGTATTTTATTCCAAACTAGAATATCATGTATTCTTCGGTGAAGGCAATGCTTTAAGTCCAGTGAGGATATAAGAATTGGGAAATGTGTCATAAAGAATTTGCTTTGCAGTGAATGTCACAGAATTTTCATTCAAACCTGCAAAATTTTTGTTACAGGGAGATTCTCCTCATCTACATTACTTTGCTGTTTGTTTCTTCTTACATTAAATAATTTGCTAGAATATCATCTCCCCAATGCCCAGCATATACAATAAGTCCCTTATAAATAGCCTCTTGGAAATTGTCACTGTTAAGTGAAACAATGCATAAGGAAAGCAGGGCCTCAAGTAATGTGTTTTGATCGATGCCAATCCAGAATTATTTTTTTCTGGACTGAAGATGTTTTTATTTTAATTGAAATTATTTAAGAACTGATTTATACTCATTCAATATACAAATATTTACTGAGAACCTCTTATATGCCAGGCAGGGTAAAGACAACAGGCACAGAGCAGGGAAGAAGACCCTCATGAGTCTCATGAAGCTCAAGTCCTGTAGGGAAAATACTAAAATACTGACAATAAAAGACAAGAAAGTTCCAGGTGGGGATTGGTGCTCTGTAAAGAGTTAGTGTAGGGTGACCTGACCCGGAGCTATCTGTGGCCACTTAGAGTTGGCAGAAATGGCCACCCTGAAAAGGTAGTCCTGAAGTTGAATTTAGTAATGTGAATTGGAGAAGGGAAAGGTGTATTCTAGGAAGAGAGAAGAGCAAGTGCAGCCCTCTGAGCACAGCAGGTACAAAAGCCTGTTGAGCTGCAAAAAGGTGAGTGAGGGTGAAACCTAGTGGGATGAAGAGCTGGCCTGGGGGAGAGGCAGCAGCCAGGTCCTACAGCAATTCAGAATCCAGGGTAGGGTCTGGATTTTGATCCTGGGTGTGATGGGAAGCCTCCAGGGGACTTATAACAGGACATATGATCTATGTTTCTTTGTTTTTTAAGATTTATTTATTTATACAAGATCTGGGGTACAGGCCAGAGACGCGGGGCAGGTGAGAGAATTCACCAGTGACAGAGCAGGGAGCAGAACAGGCAGACAGACCAAAGACACTGCTGAGGGGAACAGCGGGCGAGACCAGGAGAGGTCTGCCCTGCCATGTGGGCATCTCCCTGGCTGGCCGGGAATCAAACCAGTGCTGCAGAGGCTGTGGACAGCTTCATAGCGCTGCGCTCAACCCACTGTGCCACCTGGGAGACCCTGATCTATGTTTTTAAAGAATCACTCCAGCTGTTGGCTGGAGAATGGGTTGCAGGGGGCAAGAGCAGAAGTAGGGGACCAGGGTCCAGGCAAGAGGCAAAGTTGGTTGGACCACCATTTGGTGGACCATGCAATGGGAGGGGAAACTGAGAGAAAATGAAGATTTGTTGCGGGTTTTGGAGGTAGAAGAGGCACTACCTCTGGGTGGATGAGTTGTCCTATATGAAAGAATTAAAAGTGACTCCTAGATTTTTGTCTTGAGCAATTAGGTAGATGCTTTTCCCACTGACTCAGATGGAGGAAGACAAGAGAAGAAAAAAAAATTAGCCAAAAACTTAGACTTTGTTGAGTTTGAAATTTGACGACCATATAGTGATGTCAAGTAGGCAACTGGAAATGCTTATTCACCTCTGAGAGGTCAAAGCCTAAGGTGTACATGTAAGTGCCATTTGCATGTGGATAGTATTCAAGTGACAGGGAAGAGCGTGATGATGGGCAAGGGAAGGAGCCAGGGTCCGCATGCTGGGCACTGGGGAGGCTAGGAGGAGCCCCAGAGGAAAGCGTAGTATCACAGGAACCAAGAGCCAACAGATAGTGGATCAGAAGTGGAATCAGGTTCACAGCTTATTTGAAGTCCAATTAGGAACATCGGGAGGAACGGTCTGTGCCACTAGAAAGGGAGGGTTTTAGCCCAATTATTCAGACATGATCTCTGTGTTTAAACTGCTCATTCTTTCTGTCATCTAATTGTTTTAAAGGAAATTACCAGCCCTAATTAATCCTCTCACATCTCTTGCAGGTTGGACAAGTTTTGTAATTTCCTCTTTTCCTGGCTTAGAAATGAAACCCTCGTGATGCAATGCCACCCCACCCTGCTCTGGCCTCACGTAGCCAAAAAGGTTCTCCTCCCAGGGAACACCAGCAGCTTGCTCAACCAGAGGCCCTGCTCCGAGAGGATGGGCAAATGGCCGAGAGAGGAGTCAGGCCTGGGCCTGGCTGGCACCTTCTGTGATTATAATCTCCCCAAGACCTCCTGCTGCAGGGAAGCCGTGGCCTTTCCTTCCCAAGGTGCTCGGCTCACGTGTGGGCTCCATTCCGCTTGCCTAAGAATATTCTGATTTTTTCCACAAGCCCCTCAGATTCCCCTCAGGGTTGTCATTTTCAGTGCATCCTCAGGTGGCCTGATGCCATCAAGCCTTAGTCGGACACTCATGTGTTTCTAGTTTCTTCTTCGGCCCTTGCTAACCGCTATTTTAATGAGGGTGGAGGCCTCACCTCCTACTTTTATATTGTCTGTAGGTAGAAGGTAAAAGATACAATGGAATTACCATTTGAGGGAGAGCAAGGAGTAGTTGGGCTTTTTCACCAGGAGCACAGAGCACCTGGAGTCTTGAGGGCAGAGCTCCTAAGGACACTGTGGACCAAGAAGAGGACCTTCTCCCACCAATTCCCTCCAGTTCCTATGCAGCTGGACTGCCCAGGTCCCTGATCCAATTGGACCACAGGATGGAGCTCCGAGCTTGGGGACCTTCATTTTCCCCTTCAAAGCACTGGGAGAAGGGGGCTGCGGTCATGTCTCAATGCCTCCTTGACCCAGGCAGGGATGCTCAGCCCCCAACAGCCCACACAAATATGCAGCCTTGGTCTGAGCCTCCCCTCCCACCTTACCTGCACAGGATGCAACCTGGTCTTGGTATTTCCTATTCCTTCCACAGTCGTCACGGCAACATGGTGCAAGGAACAGATGGGGGCCAGGCAGGCATTGGCAGAAAAGTGACTGGAACCCCAGATTAAGGTCATTCCATTGTCCACTCGGGTCATTAGAGGCAACCCAAGTGCAGGATGCGGGAGACTTCAGATGCTTGTGTCATTTCACTCTAGTTTATGTTCTATCTCTTCCACAGGTGTCTTCACCTCTCCACCCAAGACTCTGGGCTAAGGACAAGGGAAGCTCACCCCCTAGGCGAGGCTCCAGTCTCTTCAGGCAGCAGTGAACCCTAGTTCTTTCAGCTAGAACCAGATCACTATCAGCCACCTCCTACTTGGCCTTACCCTGGGGCTGAGTCAAGAGTTTCTAGCAGGTTCCAGATTCAACAGGTGCACCTTTATCCCCAGGGGCCTTCCTTAGCCTCTTCAATTTCAGAACCTCCTGTCACTTTTGCTTCCCTGCTTTCACTCATGTCTCCCATTCCTCCGGGGGAGAGAGGGAGACCCTGGACACATAGGCACTATCCTCGTAGACAGAGCTTCCTTGCTCCACTCCTTTATCCATCACTCATTCACTTACACCATCAATATTTGTTATTGTGCAAACCATATGCCAGGCACCCTGCTAAGGACTGAGGAAATAAAGGTGAATAAATGTGAATAAGGTGTTTTAATAGCTTGTAGTCAATCCAGGAAAACAGAAGCCAGTGTGAAGATGCAATTTAAATATCTTATGGCAAGTGTGTAGAGCACTATGGAACCAACACAGGCAAGAGGCACCTAACCCAATCTTGGGAGGTCAAAGAAGTTTCCCAGAAGGGGTGATATTTTGCCCTGTCCTAAAGAGCGAATAAAAGTTAGCTAGGTAGAAAATTCCTAGAAGAAAAGACATTCAAGACTTGGGAAATGGCTTGTGCAAAGACTTAGAAATTGGTGGGTATGGATCAACAGAAGTGCACAATTATCGCTGCATAAATGGAGTACCGTGCCCATGAAGAGAAAGAAAACCAGTAGAAAATGTGGGATGTATTGTGAAAGGCCTCATGTGCAAAGCGGAAAGATTGGACGTCAGTTGGGATGCACTGGAGACCTCGTGAAGGATTTCATGGGGTGTGAATTGAGCCTGGATATCATGAAGGTCCTATGTGCACACACACACACACATACATCATCCACTCATTCACAAGCTAAGCCCTGCCTCAGAGTCCCCACATGAACAATCAGCCAGCAGGCAAAGGATACACGATCTTGTTCTGGAAAACGTCATACTTGGAAAGCATCACTGTGCAAGCCCCGCAGCCTCCTTCTCCACAACCCAGCTTGGTCCCACGGAGTCCCACTGTATGGTCAAGGGTTAAGGATTATGAACTCATAGAAAAGGGTCTCTGCTGGCCTCCTGGGAAGTGCATGCACTGAGCTGCAAATAACACCACCCCTGAAAACTCGAGCCCCTCACCCCCTTATCTGAGAGGCTGCACTGCAACCCAGGGAGGCAGGGAGCAGGGTCATCTCCACTGTACAGAAAGAAAAGGCATGGACTCCCCTTGAACATCACCCAAGCATCTTCCCTTGGGACTGAAGTTCTGCTCTCCAGTCCTGGAGACTTTTCTTGGGGAGGGGTCTTCCAGGCATAGTCTTATAGGCCCCTTTGCCACGTGGGCTGCTGAATTAGGCACCTTACAGACTGAGCATGAGGGCAGCTCCCATCCCACCCCTGCAGAGCATACAATGAAGCTCTCAGACTAACATGAGGCTTGCACCTGCTCTGGGACTTGCTAAGTCAGCTTTCCCCCCGACCCTCTTGGGCTGATAAGATCCCTGGGATCAAAATTAGGGCTATGTCGGGACCTTTGAATATCTAGCCCAGAGAATATGACAGTGGAAATGAAAATGAAGACATTTTTGAGATTGGGGACCAGTATTGGAGTCTTCTCTTCACTTAATTGCAGAAAAAAGGAATCTGATCCTTTGTGCCTATAAAAATGCTTCTTAATGGGTTATTCGAGAGTGATCATGGTCGCCCCTTTCCCTGAGATGACCGGGCTCCATTGCTGCTTTTCCCTCAGCCTACAGGCCTCCAAGCAGCTGCCAACTGAAGACAGAGGTAATGAAGGTCATTATCAGCTGGTCACTTCCTTCAATTTCAAGATGAAATTAGTAACTCACAATGGTATAGAACCCTATGCTTGCAGAGCACTTATACCCACAGGCCCACTTCATCTTTCAGTAATCTGATCAGCAGTTGGGGCAAGAACTATATCCCTGCAGATTAAACAAAATGACCCCTATGGTAATGTGAGTCATATGAAGGTAATGGTTTGTTACCAAACACAGTCATCTGACTCCAAATTCAGGGCTCCTCCACCACTGTGCGGCTGCCTCTCTCAATACCTGCCTGGAGGGCTTTCTGGGTCCTCAATGTTCTTTTCATCCGTCAAGACAAAGGCAGTTATCAGCTGTTCTGACAACTCTAGGGGCAGATGAAGAAAGGCAAATGGTAACAACCCAATGTTGAGTGAGGTCTCCCAACCTGTAGAGCTTTCTGGAAGTCATGATATATTGTCTCTTACACAAAATTCCCAGCACAGGATGCAAGAAACCAAAGAATTTCCTATGTGCCAGCTTTCAGTTTTGGATTTCATTTGAGGTTTGACCTCTAAACAAGTCAGCTGCTATGATTAGGAACTTCTAAGACATTCAGATACTTTATTAGAAAACTAATATGGTTGTTAAGGGTCTCTGAGAATGAGCCTCTCTTCCCAGACCTCCCAGGTAGATGGGTTGGAAATGGAGTTCCACTCAGTTCCCCGATTCTACTGAGTGACTCTCCCTCCACAAAGAAGCCACCAGGTTCGTATGCTGTGAGGCTCCAGGTCTGCCTCCTCGGACAGGAGGAGGACAAAGTATACCAACACCAGCCACTGTCTGGCAGAAAGTGAGCAAACAAGCAGTAAGGACATGGATTTCAGGCTGGCTTCTGTGGGCGTTGAAACAATCCAAAATATGTCACTGGAATGAGCCATGGGACATCCCTGCCTCTGGGCATGAGAAGGGCTTGTTGACAGAGGTCAGGATGAGCCTTGTCTTGACAAGGACCCCTACAGAGTTTCCAGAATGGGTAGGAACTTCAGTGCTTGGCTTTGGGCTTGAGTCCAGGATCTGAATATACAGTGAGAAGTAGGCCCCTTGTGCAGATCTCACTTCCTCCTCTGTCAATGGGGCCGCTGTGGGATCAGTGAGATCACCCTGCCTGCCTCTCAGCATCCGCCATTTCCGCAGCAGATGGCACTCCCACACGCAGGCCCACCTCAGGCAGCCCCTTCCCGACAAACACCCCTTCCCCTGACTTTTCCTCCCCAGTGGAAGAGCTAGAAACATTCCCTAGGAAGGCCATTTACCTCTTAAGCAATAAGTCATTTGGGGAAGGTGTGGAAGGGCCCCACCCCTGCTAATTGGGGGTGACAGAGACCAGGGCCAAAGAGGGCCTTTGGAGCTTATCTTACAGCCCTAGTTCTAGACGTTGACATTACTAAAGTCTGAGCTGGAAAAGAACTCAAGGATCATCAGGAACAATTCTTCCTTCAATGGCGAGAATTTCAAACCCAGACAATTCAAATGACTTCTCAAGTCCCACAACTGCTGAGCGCCAGAGCCGCAACTAAAGGGCAGGCAGCCAGAGCCTGAGTCCGGCGCTCACCTCACAGCCTCCCTACAGGTCACTAGAAAGTGACAGAGGTCCAGAGAATGGGCCTTTCCCTCACCCCCCTGCAAAGGCAGGATACACTTTCTTCTCAGATAGGTCAAAAGGGTCGTTTCTGGATCCGCATTTTTCTCCACCACCTACAAAGACAAAAACAAAGACAAAAATATAGATCTACTTAACCCTGGCCTACCCAAGAATTTGTAGAGTTAATGGGGATGTGCTACATAAATTATGAAAATTATGGCACTTGTCTTCATAACTGCAGAAGAATAACCATATCAACTGCAAACTATGGCTGTGCTGACATCCTTCAGCTCTGAAGTTCTACATGAGTGTTCAGCCCAGGACCCACCAAGAAGCATCTGGTGCTGCACCACCATGCTGGCCTAATTCCTCTTCAAATCAAACAGGTCCTCTCATTTCTGGCTGCCTGCCCACACCTGAGAGCCAGGAGAGCAGAGAGAAGCGGCCTGCAGATCCCTGGTTTGGTCCACCCTCAGACAGTGGGGAGCCCTCCGTTGCCCTGTGCTCCCAGAGTACTGCACAGGCTGCACGGTGTTGACCCATGTCCGAAAGGGAGGAGAATCTCAACCCAGGGTCCCTGAATGGGCGTTCAATCAGCTGGAGAAGCTTGCCCGCCGAGCCAGGCGCCAGCTCCCCATGCATATCGTCAAAGGAAGTCTATGAAAACTGCTTTCACGCCTCACGCATCATCCAGAGTAAAAAGTTCAGATGACTGGGCCGGAAAAAGGGAGGGAATTTGTGGTAAAGGTTCCTTTAAGAAGAACTTACAGTGAATTCCACACCTTTCTAAAGAGGGAGGAGGAGGTGTTGTAACAGGGTGGTCCCCAGGAAAGGGGGAGGTTCCCTGCCCCACCCAAATGGAGGGTGGAGCTGAGCAGGGAGAGAAGAAGCTGCAGAGGAGACTGAGGAAGGAGCAGGATGGGGCCAGAAGGAGACGTGGAGGAGGCGCATGGAGCCTAGAGACACGTGAAGAAACTGCGCTTGTCTTTTGGTTGTGGACGGGGTGACACAGATGTGGGTGAGGCCCGTGGGGAGGTGACCATGGCAGCTTTTATCTTGATTTTGATTTTGCTCTTTTCCATCCAGGCTTGTCTGGTTGTATCGGAGCCTTTTCTGTGGGTCCCCACTGGAAGATGCTTTAGACTTGTGGCAGGCTTTGGGGCCTTGCTCTGGGCCCATCCTGCTTGGGTGGACTTTTACCCACGAGGGGACGAGTCACTTTGGGTGCTTGATTTAGAAACTAGATTCTTTGCCTTTCCTGTATTGTTTCCTAATTGTATTAAAATTCCTTCCCATTAAAGTCTCATATGTTTTATGTTGATGTGGTGGATGGCAGAACCTATTGAGAGCAGGCAGGTTTGCGGGTCTGGGCTGCCCCTCTCCCTGCCCTGTAACAGTTTCTTACCACTTCTCAAACTGTGAAGGGAGCTCCTGCCACACACTAGTGACTGCAGGGGATGTTGTGCTCCAGCCCCCCCAAGCAGCTAGCAGTAGGCTGGGCACACACACTGAAGAACCGTACATGGTGGTGGGACTGGGCATGACCCAGAGTTTAGGAGAACTGAAGCTGTAATGAGCTGACCAAGCGCCTCAGGTTGGCCATGCCTGAGAGCATGCTGGCCGGGAGGCACTCAAATAGTTAGGGAGACTGAGTGCAGGGGTTGATGGCACACCAGTCTCTGGAGTGGACCACCCCACACCAGAGGCCAAGGAAGAGCAGCAGGAATAGTGCATCTCTGTCAACTGAACCTTCCTGGGGATGGGGATTCTTCTTACATCAGCACCAATTAAATGAGAACTTTCTTGCTGCTCTCACCTTTTAGTCCCAAATGGAGACTGCATTTGGCAATTTAGAAATGGCCATGGGATTTTTTTCTTATTGACTCAGAGCCAACAAGAAGGTCAGAAATTGCCAGATTTTGCTTCCTGAATAAAGTTTAAAACACAATGGAAGATTTTTTTTTTTTTTTTTTTTTTTGCTTTTATGATTATACTCCAACAAGCCAGCTCAAAGTCCTGGTTATAAAGTTCACCCAGGAGACTTTTTTTTTCCTTCTCTTGGAGAAGAAATCATAAATGTACAAAATAAAGGTCCTTATCACCTTTCTTGTAGATGGCAGGAAGACCCTCTGAGCTCACCACCTCCCCTAAGTTGTCTTTCCCCGGTCCTGCAGCCCTCCAGTCACCTCACCAGAGTGCCTTGCTCAGTGTCTTCAGGGTTATCTTGGAGACAAAATCCAAGTCCTAGACGTTACCTTTCAAGCCCTTTCAATACGTACCTACTCTTCATTTTCAGTCTCTTCCCCTCCTACTTCTCTGCCAAGCTGGTTTTCAGACTCAAGTGAAAATACAACTTAGATTTTCTGACCTGTACTCCAGTTCCTGTATTAATTAATTAATTAATTAATTAAAAAGGTCACCAAGGCCCGTGACCTCCACAGGGTCCCCTCCAGGTCCCCACTGAGAAGACAAAGTCCTGAACTACTGAAACAGGGAGTGTAGGAGGCACACGGTTAGGAGGGAGTCACTGATTTCCAACAGTTCTTTCATAACTTCCTTGCATAATATCCTTGCAAAACATCCAGATCATCTTGGGAATAGAAATGGGACAAACCTACTCATAGCTGCCTCGACTTGACTGGGAATTCCCTTGCTCAGTCTTCCTTGATTAGTGGTGGTTTTATAGCTCTACTTTTACCTCATCACTCTCTACATTGTCTCTCCAATTTTCTGTAGTTTCTCAAGAGATTGCCTGCCTTAAATTGCAAGCACGCAATTCATCACTGGAACTGGCAGGAGTAGAAGCTTCCAGAGAAATTAGGGCTAGACATGATCATGCCATCTACAATTTTTATTTTCTTTTTTTAAATTTTTTATTGCGGTAACATTGGTTTACAACACCAATGATATAAATGATAGATTTAGAGGTATAGGATTGCTTTCCTAAAGTATAAATAAAATACATTGGAAAATAATCTTCACCAGATTTACCTTAAAATGCTCTTTTCTAGATACAATACATCATACCCATCTCGAAGAGGGCAGAACCTTATACTGTTATGCACAAATTGATGACTTAATAAATAATTTGACCTTAGTGTACAATGTGGCCTTGGAAGTCACTGAATCCAACTGCTCACCCAATGTAATAATTGCTTAGAAAAACTCCACAGACGATACCTTCGAGTAACACTTCTAGAAAGCTAATTCAAAGACTGTTTCTTAAATGCGTGTGATGTAATGGCTGAATGCAAGACAGTTATTTGCAATGTTCAATGCAAAAGTCTTACTACCAATGCAAGCTGTGCCCTGCCTCTTGGTTTGGGGCCAGATGTCAATCCTGAAGATTAACTGGCATAGAGAAATAGCTGTGAACCGGAAGAGTGTGGCTGACCCCAATGCCTCTGGTGACTCCATTCAAATTGAGTCCAACAGCTTGTAGTGCCAGAAAAAAAAAAAAAAAAAAAAAAACCAGCTTGTAGTGCTGATGTGCGCTGGCTCATGTGGTCTCTTACAAATCAACAGCACAACCCTGACAAGTGATGTATTAGCTGTCCTATGAAGTACATTTTAGTTCCTGAAAATTGCCTCAAAAATCACCCAGTTTCAGGCCTCCCCTGGTGGCCCAGCGGTTGAGCACTGGGCTGCGAAGCTGCCCGCAGCCTCTGGAGCGCCGGTGCAATCCCCAGCCACGGGTGAGGGTCCCACATGGAGCGACAGACCACTCCTGTCGTGCCCGCTGCTCCCCTCAGCAGTGTATTTTATCAGTCTGCCTGTTCTGGTCCCTGCTCTGGCTCTGGTGAATCCTCTCACCCCCCACACCTCGGGCCTGTACCCCAGTTCTTGTATAATAAATAAATAAATAAATCTTTTTAAAAAATCACCCAGTTTCTCCACTTACAAATGCCAAAATTTCAAAAGAAAATAGCCCTTCTTTGGGGTCCCACAGGCACTTCTGTCACTCATGCTGTGCCCTGTGGCCATTTACAATGTGCAAGCCTGATTACCCTTGAAATTCCCTTTATTCCCTAATGGGAAGCTGGAGCAGCAGGGGTGCTGGAGAGGGGGGGTGGGAGGAAGGCAGCAAGTGGAGGAAGGAGACAGTGTGAGTGGTTGCACCCTCTCTCCTTGCACTTGCCTTAAAATTTAAGAAGATTTTCACCTTTCCAGTGTGGGCTGCAAGGACTGGAGCAGATCACAAGTCCCCTCTGCACCTTTCCACGCCCCTCCACCCCCCAGATCCCTGTACACCAATGAAGTTGGGCAATTTTTTATCAAAGTGAGAGATTTGCAGTATTTATGTGTCTAACTAAGTTGGGGAAGGCAAGCGGTTCTCTATGAAAAGCAAAATCATGGCTTGCCACAAGATGTCAGTGTATTTCCTCGCACAAATTAGCTATTACAATTCTGTTTATGAAATATCACAAGCAAAGGCTGTGTACAACTTATATACTGATATTAGCAAGAAAAACGTGTTTCTGTTTCCTCTGTCAATAAAGACAGCAACACAAGCCTTAGAATTAAACACATAAATAGAGGTTGGTGGGTGACCTTCGATCTCACCTGGAGCCCTGCCCCCGTTCTCAGCTTCAGGCCAGGGTCTCTCCCACTGCAGGGAGTTGGCATGGCAAGGAGTTAGGGAGCCACTGACACCCCTCCTCTCTTTCCTTCTCCATATTCCTTTGCCCCTTGAGTATCTGGACTGTGTCCTAACCCCAAGAAGTCTTCCTTCTCCCCACCCCATGTTACCCCAAATGCACCTCTGAAAGTGACACCTCTGAAAGAAGAGAGAGAAATACAAGTAAGAGTGGAGAGAAAACAGTGAGAGAAGACAAGAATGGCCACACATCTCTTCCCAGGGCACAGGGAAGCCAGCCCAAGGTAAATGTCAGCTCCTGCTTACCTTTTTGCCATTCACAAAGAAAACCAACTCGTCAGCTGTCATTGTCACCGGCTGTGGTCCCCGAACACAAGGCACCTGGCTCCCAAGAGACACTGGCAGTTACCACTGCTCTGCAACTTGAAAATATGCCTCTCAATACAGTGAAACTAAGTGGACCAATGGGAGAGCTGAGAGCTTCAGGGCACGGAGAGTTCTTGGCAAAAGCCACCAGTTTGCATAATCAAGGAAAAGAAACCACCACACACAGCAAATCAAACCCGCAGCCCTGTGTCAAAGAGCACAGAGGAAGGAACCTGCATGTATCAGCCAGCGGACCTGGGCACCAGGTAGCTGTGTGTTTTAGGCACTGCCCTCCTGAGCCTGGTTCGTCCTCCCACTTGCTGAAGGTGGAGAAGAGGGTAGGGCCACTGCCGAATCCAGCAGCAGAGCTGATTCACATGGGCCACGTCTCCACTTGTCGTTAACCCTTCAGGTCTGCTGCAGCCAGACTCTGCGATGGCACAAAGGACACTTTCTCCCACAGCCCGGGGGATACCAAGGCCACAGGATGCAAAGTGCCCAAGCAAAGCTGAGCATTTGATGTCAGCATGTCACTATCACCCCCAGAACTCAGCTGGGAAAGAGCATGCAAACACCACGCTGGAAATAAGAATTCAGCAAGAGCAGATGGCTGTGGGACAAATGATGAACCTCAGAAGAGCTTTGTAAACTTGCAAAGAACCAAGATATTTATTGCTATTACAAATGTATCCCCAACAACATGATAATAAACTATTTTTGAGGTTTTTTTATTTGTCCTTGATAAGTTGTCGGAATGACTCATAACAATATTGCAAAATCCCAACTACATTAAAACATGCACCAATAAACACAGAGTTGAAAACCTTCCCTCATCCTGTATCCACTACTCCCGGCCTAAAGACATAAGCACATTGCCCACACGAGCACCGGTGAGATCTCTATAGACCTATACACAGCGACCCATCCTACCCACCCCCGACACACCCCAGCATTCTCTCTCAGCTTCCTCAGCCTATAAGGACACACACAATTATCCAGCCAGCCTCTCTGAAGCTGGTCACTTCCCCTGACCCCTGGGGGATATGAGGGAAGATAAGGGCATCAGGCAGATGAGCTTGGTAAAGCAGTAGCTTAAGAAAAAATGCAGACTCCCGGGACCAACCTGTTATCAATACAATGCCCCTCTCCACCGCAGTCTCTACTCAAGCAGGAAATGAAAATCCACTTGCAGGGTGACCAATCACCTCAATTGGGTCCCTGTGATACTAGTTTCAGCTCTAAATAGCTACCAAATCTTTCCATCTATGGCAAAGGTTCGTCACCATAAAATGGCAGTTCTTTTTTTTTTTTAAAGATGTATTTATTTATACATACAAGAACTGGGGTACAGGCCAGAGGTGTGGGGGGGTGAGAGGATTCACCAGAGACAGAGTGGGGAACAGAATAGGCGGACTGACCAAAGCACACTGCTGAGGGGAGCAGCGGGCGAGTCAGGAGAGGTCTGCTGCGCCATGTGGGTAGCTGCCTGGCCGGCCGGGGATCAAACTCTGCTGCAGTGGTTGCAGACAGCTTCATAGGTTGCATCTTAACCCCTTGCACCACCAGAGAGGCCCCAAAATGGTGGTTCTTAACAATTAGGGGGCCTTTCCACCTAGAAACCATTTGGCGATGGCTGCGTATGTTTGACTGCCATGAACAGGAGGCGCTACTGGCATCTGGTAGACAGAGCCAGGGCGCTGCTAAGAGCCTTCCCATGCACAGGACAGCCCTCCATGGTGAAGGCTAATCTGGTTTAAATGCCAACACAGCCAAGACTGGGAAACCCCGCCAGAGAAGGAAGGAGGTGGGAGAGGGAGAGGAGCTGGGCCTGGGGTGGGTTCCTTTCTCCCAGGTGAGCTGTTCCTCAAGCCACTGATTTACTGGGCTCTGCAAGCCCATCACTGCTTCCTTGCCAGTGTCTGGCCAAAGTCCCAGGAAGCCCTCAAGATAAAGGGGAAGGCTAAGGAAAAGGCTCAGGCTTGGGGGTTAGGCATGAATACAAGTTACCCCATGGCTATGGGACCTTTGGCAAAAATTACTTTCTTGACCTCAGTATCCTCATCTCCGAAATAGGGGTGACTCACCTACTTTGTAAGAATCTATTTTGGTGGGAATTAAACGAGACAGGTTAGACATGCTGTCCAATGTACATGATTTATTTCTCCCCACTTCGCCAATCTTCAGCCGCCTCCTCTAATCTGGAGGTGAAATTCCTCTGTTACTGTGGACCTTTGAAAAATGAAAGTGATAATTTTTCAGTAAGGGCTTAAGCTGTCATCAGATTTTATTTCTGTTACCACTTGCTTGTTATTTCCATGGTATTGAGATTTGACAAAAACTTTGACTGTGATTACTTCTTACTCAGCCAAAAATTGACAACTATTTCTTGGTGAATTTTTCAAGATGTTATAAAGTGGGGGGTAACAGTCAAAATAAGCAGGGTTTGTTTTTTTTTTCCAGGCTGAAGAAAACTTCCCATATATGCTTTCAATACTGGCAGGAATTCTCAAAAATAGACTGAATTCCTGGGATTTTATGGTCTTGAAATAGACTGACTTACAATTTCATTGCACTCCATTAACTTACTCCACTGTCCTAAGGAATGCCTTGGTCTATAAACTGCATTGAGGAGGCATGTGAGGTCCCAAATTCCACAGGTAAGCCAGATAAGCCCAGAGGCCTCCAGGACACAGCACCTTTCTCTTGGACAGGCACTTCCAGATCACAAGACTGAAAAGTGAAAATAGAGTGAGCTCCCTCCAGGCCAAGTGCTCCTTGGAGGAAGAGGTCTTGGGGTGAGCTTTGGCTGGTTCTCTGAATGCCTGGTCAGGGCTGTGCTGACAGCTGGGAGACCTCTACTGCTTTGAGCACATACCCCTGGGCAGCTCAGCATCTCAGAGCTTGGGAAGTCAGGGCTCCCTGAAGCAGCCTCCTAGCAGCCCTGAAGCCAACTCTGCAGCTGTGCCTCCAGGCAGCTCACGCCCTCTCTGTGCATCTAGATGTGTGTTCTTGTCTGTCCCCTGCAGGCATCCCTTGTTTATGTTCCTCACAACAAACTTTACCTAAAAAGGAAAACATTTTCCTTTCAAAATATTTCACTGCTCACATTTTTTAACTAAGATTTTTGTTTGTATTTTCTAAAACTAGTGTCCCTCCTATGTAGACTCAATCTGGATGAAAGACGTCTCTATATTCTCAGCGCATCTCTGCCCAGCACCCAAGTCCTGCCTTGTTCTCCTAGACATCTAGATTACTAACCAGTCCTAATAAGTGTTCTTAACACCTGAAGAGTGTTTCTTTCACATAGTAAGATCTCTTTTGATCTTCTAAAAGCCCTGAGAGATGGGAAGGGACATTATTATCATCTTTCCTTTCCATCAGAGAGAATGAGGATCAGAAAGGTTGGCTTGCCACTGTCTCACAGCAAGCAAGTGCCAATTTCTACATCTGTCACCTACTCCCCAGCAGAGAAGACTTCTCTTTGATGGTTCTTCAACAACTTGGGGGCACAAAGCCCAGGTTTGCTGGCATAGCACTTGTGGATCTTCGCTGTCCAGCAGAACTCCAACCTTCTGCTTCATAAAGTCTCTCTCTCATGCTTGCACAGTGAAGCCCTGAGACCAGGAGCAGAGCTACTCACTGCTTTATCTTTGGTGCCTAGCACAGGGCCAGGTCTTTAAGAATCAATCAAAGTTGGTCCTCCCTATGGCGCAAGGGATTAAGATGCAACCTATGAAACTACCCACAGCCACTGCAGCACGAGTGATCCCCAGCAAGGGAGCTACCCACATGGCGCAGCAGACCTCTCCTGACTGGCCCGCTGCTCTGCTCCTCTCACCAATGTATTTCAGTTTATCCACCTGTTCTGTTCCCCGCTCTGTCTCTGGTGAATCCTCTCACCCCCCACACCTCTGGCCTGTACCTCAGTTCTTATATACATAAGTAAATATTTTTTTGAATTTATTAAAAAAAAGAATCAATCAAAGTTCATTAAATTGAGCCCACGATGCAAGGAGTGAGTTGAGTTTTCAAAAATGCCTAAACCTTCTCTACCTATCACCAACTTTTTTCCATAATTCTATATATTCTTAGCATCATTCAATTTCCTTCATCAGCTCCTTCACAAATAATCTTCTAAACCATGTGAGGTAATGAGCTAGTAGTATTCCTCAGCATAAAGGCCACTCTGAGTATATCAACTTCTGACTTTCTACCCACATCTGGGAAGTCAATCCTTTTAGAATCAAGAAAGTAGGATTATCCAAAAGAAGACACAATGTCAAAACTAAAAGTGTGTGAACTTCAGGGCCTCCCTGGTGACGCAGGCGGTTGAGCACCGCACTGTGAAGCTGTTCACAGCATCGGCAGCGCGGATTCGATCCCAGCTGGCTGGTGAGAATCCCACATGGTGCAGCAGACCTCTCCTGTCTCGCCCGCTGCTCCCCTCAGCAATGTATTTCGTTAGTCTGCCTGTTTTGTTCCCCGCTCTGTCTCTGGTGAATCCTCTCACCCTCCTGTGCATCTGGTTTGTACCCCAGCTCTTGTATAAATAAAATAAAATCTTTAAAAAAAAAAAAAAGCGTGTGAACTTCATTCTGGGTCAGTACAGCAAGCACACAAAAACTCAAGGAATAGAAAGGCCTACTCTGAGATTTCTGGTTTGTCCATTGCGGCATCTAGTAGACTAAGTCTTAGAAGCATTACTGGAGTATCACATTCACTATCAGAGCAAGTGTCCAAAGGGCAAGGTACTGCATGGACATAGTAGAGACATTTACTCAAAAGCTATTTATTGACAAATGAATGAATGACAGCAATGACAGAGCCTGGTTTTAGTTAAAGAAAAGGAAGCATTGCTCACATGTTTGGTTTAACCCACATGCAAAGTTGCATGTGCAAATGCGTCACTGAGAATCATGGGCTCTTGCAAGCAAAGGCAGCTTTGGTCTCATCTCAAGGTCCTCAGCCTGAAGTGTCCCCATCCTCATGTCCATTCACTTATCTGCTTTAATAAGGCTCTGCCATGACTCAGACACTGTGCCAGGCAATGATTAACTAGAGGGTCAAAGAGGCTTAAAGAACATCCTCACTGTACCTTATAGGTAATCCATGACCCCTGAGCCAATATTGTAGCAACTGAACCAAG